GGCAGGATTTTGAGTTCACGGTTTAGACTAGAGGAGTACTGCATTGTCAAGTGTGCTGGCCTCTTGGATGAGATGATAAACCAACATCCCACTTGTCTATTCAACTGGACATTAAATGGCACGATTCGAAAAAGGAAAGGTAGTTTCTCCCAGTGTCCTGACCAACAATCACTCGATAAAATTGATCACTTACTTCATGGATATTTGTGGACATTGCTGTAAGCAAATTGTCTTCCTAGTTCACCTGTAAAATGTACCTCACTGCAGTCTACAGTAAATCTGTGAAGCACTTTGAGAAGTTTTAACAATTGGGGAAACCTTTGACAGTGATTCCGATTGCAAAGAGCTTCTGGTCTTCTCTTTGTGGTAGAGAGGTGGTGAGCAGAGGACAGGCTCTAGATGTAGGGAGATAGGTAGGAATGTCACTCCCGGGAACACTGGAATATATCAGTATTATAATAATAATCCTTGCATTTTACCAACCTATCCGCTCCTTCCACTCAGTGGGTATTGACCTGCTCTATGTCCCCTGATCTTCCTTCAGCCTTTCTGCCCCACCATCTTGAACTCCATCCCAGAACTCTTTTGCCTCGACTCCCTCCCTTGTCTCTTTCAAAACTCGTCTCAAGACTTTCCTCTTTGACTGGACCTTGAATCATATTTACACCTCAATTCTACGCCCCCACTTCCCCCCCCCCCTTCCTTACCCCCCTTACCCTTCATCCCTCTTGACTCCAGCTCCCAGCTCTGGTCCAAACCCTTGACTGTCCAGTGCCTTGGTATGGCCTTCTGATGTGAGACATGCTATCAAAATAAAATTTGTTGTTGTTGGTGGTATAGCACCTTATCACATTATCGAAATCTCTCTAAATGCTTCATAGAATTTTACTGTGTAGTGATTGTATTTGTAGACGAACGAAGTAGCCAATTTGCATGACCAATTTTTATTTATTAACTTCAGTTAGTACAGATTTCTGTACTTAACTTTTCAATAGAGTGCACAAAACCAGAAAGACCAACACTGGGGAAGGGAGTGAAATCTACATGTTGTAGAAGAACAAAAGTTTTAAAAATTGACATTTTAATAAAGGCGGTTTGAGGAAAACTAGGATGTTTCAACTCACAATATGAGTTGTGCTGTGCTGTTACTCCTTGCTAAGCATGTTGTTCATTCGTGTAATTGATTGGTTTTATCTTGCCCTGTTCACAGTGCAATGAAATATGCAACCGATGGAACTTCACAGACTTTCAACACTGCGTCAGTGCATGTGTAAGTAACATTTCTGTCAATGTGTATAACGAATTGTGCAATCCCTCCCCTTTTCTATCTGTCTTTAAATCCCAACATCGTAACTAACACTTGAACTGTGCCAATGGCCAACTCTCCCACCCCCTTCTCCTTGCTTGGTGTCCAACTCTGCCACTGAGATGCTCACCTGTGTGAAGGGCACTATATAAGTGCAAGTTGCTGCTGTTTACGCTGCCTTGCTGAGTTTTAGTACTCTCATATAAGCCAATGTGCGAGTGTGTGCTTGTGAGAGCACAAATGTGTTCTGTTCTACCCTGAAAGCTGTGACTGTGTATGTGCGTGTTTTTAGCGGAATCTATAACGCATTCCACAGCATATCGATTCTGTTGAGAAGCATCGTATTTTGTTTGCAAAACTGAAGGAGCTGACATGTCAGCAAACCCTGGCCTGCTTCATGTCCTTTGCCCGATCTGCCCCACCATTGGTGGCCAAGCTTTCAGTGGCTCAGCCCATGGTCTTTGAAAATCCATCCCGGAGCCCCTCTGCCTCGGCCTCTTGTATGCTGGCTTCAAGACCTACTTTAAGACCGATGTGTTTGATAGAACTTTCGGGCTCCATTCCCTCCCCCTCCCCCTCGCAGTCAGCTGTATAAAGCTCTATGAGGCGCCCTCCAGATGTGAATGGTAATTTCGAATATAATTTGTCGTTGTCTTGTAAAGTACCTCAGTTCGTATCCAGACTTTTCAAAGTAATGGGCCAAATCCAATCTAAAATGTTACTTTCTTGTTGTATGGGCCACCCAAAAATACAGTATAAACTTTACTGTGACGGCTCTTAACCCAGCTGTTCATAGCATAAGCAATAGTGGCAAGCTGACTCCAGGCTTATTCACTGTCACAGTGTATTACTTGCAGCTGTACAGTCTAAACACATCCTTGTGTTATTATAACAAGGGCAGTCGATTACTTCTAACACACTGCCAGTTTGTTTCAATATCACAGCAATTGTATCACAATGATGTACTAGGTATCAGCCTGACTTGCTTACCTCTGAGTAAGAAGGTTGTGGGTTGAAACCCCACGTTGGGACTTTGAACTCAGAGGCTAAGCTGACACTCCAATGTGTTGCATTGTCCGAGGTGTTGTCCTTCCTGTAAGGCATTAAACTGAGGTCCCGTCCACCTCTTTAAGTGGATAATAATAATAATGATGATAATGATGATAATCCTTGTATTTGATATAGCGCCTTCAAGACGTCTCAAAGCGCCTCACAGAATATACTGTAAAGTGAATTGACTGCATATTTTGCCGGCGAAACGTGGCAGTCTGTTTAAAGATGGATCTATTCAAAAAGAGAAGGGAGCTGAACAGTGTATCCAATTCCTAGTTTAATTTAGTGCCACAGTTGTATGGTGTTTTTAAAAACATTTTTTTTTGTCTCCGCAGCAGTTCTATCATATTTGTTTTATGTCTCAGTTAGCATTTTTCTCATGGTTAAATGTTACAATCCATAGCCATAATCTTCTTGCTCTCAGGATAACTGAGCAGCATTGCTTCATGCCCTTTATAGCAGTTTCTCGAGTTTAGGCAGTTGCAGTACTTTGAAAAATGAGTGTTTACATGGGGGACCAGTCGAGTTGTTTACCTTATCAACCTCGAGGGGAATGATAACTATACTACAGTATCTGTGCCATCCTGTAACCCAGGGCTCTTCTCCTTGGCTGGGATATCTCATGAGAGGCCCCAAAATTCCATTCTGTTGCACTGTTCCAGTGTTAGCCTGTAAGTCCGTCTGACCATGAAATTTAAGAGCGTGCAGAACTGTGAATAATTATTAAATTCGGTCTTCATTTGGAATCCGGATCTTTGGAAGCTCCACGTCAGGACTTGGGATCATGCAGTCCAAGCTGACACTCCTCCAGTGCTGGAGGGAGTGTTGCGTTGTTGGAGGTGCCGTCCTTTGGATGAGCCGTTAAACCGTGGTTCCATCTGTCTGTTTAGGTGGATGATAAAGATCTTGGGGCACTATTCAAAAAGAGAAGTTAGTTTCTCTCTCCTCGTGTCCTACCCAACAACCCCCCCCCAAATAAAATTGGTCACTGATTCCATGGCTGTTTGTGGGACATTGCTGTGCCCAAACCTATTGCCGCATTTCCCTACAAAATGCACAGCGATTATATTTTAGAGTAAACCCTGAGAAGCACTTTGAAATGTCCTCCTGACATACAAAGTACTGTATCAAATGGAAGGATTATTATTATATTGTTGTGATCAGTCGCTCGCACCTCTGAGAGTACGTTACAAGCTCCTTTGCTGATTCTGTGCTCTGTTTTGCAGGATTCAGTGTTCAATCAGACTTGCGAGGTAAGTGGTGTAAGATGCATTCATTCACGGGTAGCAATACGTGGTTCACAATAAGGAATGGACTGTGGAGCGCTCTGCTTCAGAAGACCATAGACGCAGTATTAATTGGGATGTTGCATCTTTCCTTTTACGCTGATGACCAGCGAAAATTCTGCATGTCTAACGGGATACTTGAGAAGTAAGGTTAATAAACAATATGAAGGAAAGGAAGGGAAATGGGGTTAAAAGATCTGGCATGGTCCAGTAAACCAGATGGTTCTGTTGAGTTCAATGTCAGCCTCTTTCCTGTGTTTGTTGCACAATGTTACCTGCCAACCTTCTGTTTTTGACAAGTTGAAATAAACGTTGCAAACTTGGACAGTGATTTCAAACAGTTGAACCCTTTGTGCAGGTGGAACCTTTTATTTGAGACTTTCTGACCTTTTCTTTTGCTTGCGATTGGGCAGACTTGTTGCAGAGACAGATTCTGCGTAGACAGGCGAGTTTGCCAAAAGCTGAGAAAGGTTGAGAAGAGTGATGAGTAATGGGCATATTCCCAAGTTTCTGAACGCGTCAGATGCAAGGCATGAAATCTCATTCTCTCTGCAGAAGAATTCCAGTCAATGATGTAGCATGTCAGTGATTAGAAATGGTTTTCGGCATGAATCTCCATTGAATCTCATTTTCCGTCAGTTAATTTTTTTCCCCTTCTTTGACTGTGCCAATGGACACCTGCTCCTTCTCCCTCGCTTGACATCCAACTCTGCCACTGTACGCAGCTCTGAGTTGCTATCCTGCATGAAGCGCACTATAAAAAGGGAGGGGCTGAATAAAGAGGCTGAGATTCAGCCATGCTAATGATATAACCAGCTTAGCTATACTAATGAACCAGTGAAGTGGTGAAAGGAAGCTCAGTTGCTGATTCTTTTTGCTCTGCTGAAAGGAGGAAATGAAAACAAAAATGCCTCCCTTTAAATTCCACGCTCTGTTTGCCTTTCCAAGAATTTCTAGGTTCTTTCAAGATTTTAGTCAAGAGTATTTATTTACCTGTAACCACTAGGTTGTTTAATTTGCATATTTTTCAGTCACAGATTTTGAGCTAAATCTATGTTTTTTTAAATAAAAAGTTATAATTGTTTGTTAGGGGACATTGTGGCGAAGTGACAAAGAGGGTTTGTTTCTGATTTTTTGACAATTTGAATATAATAAATAATTTTTTAAAAAAAAACTGCACCCCCATCCTGATCTTGTGGGCTTAGGTTAGTTGAGCCAAATGGTCTGTATTGGTGTTGATTTCCTATAATTCTATGTATATCTAGCCTGAGTTTAATGTAGTCGCATTTTTGATCCAGGTCCAGTTCTGCCGATATGGCTGCAAGAAAATTGAGGAGTCTTACGGATTTCACATAATGGGTAAAAGCAACGAGTCTTAATCTTTCTTGTAAAATGCGCAAACGGGGCCTTGCTGGTTTCATGTCAACTTTAATTTACTTTGTGTCTCAGCTTGGCTCAGTTGAGGTCAGTCTGAGTCAGAGGATGTGGGTTCAGGCCCCATCTTGGGTCTTGGAACTCATATGGTCTAAGCTGATACTCCAAAACATTGCTGGGGGTGCACTGTATTGTCAGTTTTATTTTTTGGATGAGACATTAAACCGAGGTCCCCATCTGCCTGTTCAGGGGGATGTTAAAAATCTAGTGGAGTTATCAGAGAAGGGAGTTTCTCTCTCCCGGTGTCCTGACCAACAATCCACCAAATAAAATTGGTCATTCACTCCATGGCTGTTTGAGGGACATTGCTGTGCACAAATTGGTTGCCGCGTTTGCCTATAAAAAACACAGTTGCTGCACTTCACAGAATATTCTGTGCAGTGCTTTGAGATGTTCTCCTGACGTGAAAGACGGTGTACAAATACAATTATTCATTGTTGCTGTTCAAATAATAAGTGCGAAAAGTGGAGTATTGTCTCACTCCTATGCTCAAACATCAGTATAGGTGCAATCATGACTAGTCATCAACTGTGTTGCACATTGTCATGGCTGAATGTGCCCTCCCCGCTCTTGTTTAATGGGAGCCATCAAGCCAGACATTATATCCCAGTGCAATTCATGTAGCTTAATTCAACGTTAAAAGTTAATTTCAGTCCTTCCAATTCAGCCTTACTGTTTCACCCACAAAATACAGTGTAAAATCCCCTTTACAGTATTTTCTGTGAAGCGCGTTGAAACATTGCAACGACATGATAAGGTGCTGTATCAAATGCAAGGTTTATTATTATTTAATAGTACAGTGAATAATCAGTGCATTATACACGAATGACCTTTGAACCTGTGCAATGCGGTCTCATTTCTAATGGCCTACAAGTTCGCAGTCACTACAATATACAGTCCATCCTGTGAAGTGCTTTGAAACGTTTGATGCAGTGAAGAGTCGCTACATCCTACGGCATGATTTAACATTCGTGACGATTAGCATATCACATTCCGCGTTTTTTTAGCTCAAAGGCGCTTTCTATTATTGGTGATCATAATTTCTCTTGGTCATTGTCTGATGTTTATATAATCTTTTAAGTACATAATTGAATATTTTTTGTATGTGAATAGAATCGCTCAGTGATCCTCAACCTCCAGTAGCCAGCACGATACAGAGCTCATCTGTTCTTTTACAATGGGAAAGAGCAGGTTCATCAGCAGTAAGATACGTTCTCCAGTGGAGGTACAGAGAGCTGCTTGGGCAATGGATCTACACAGAAGTGGGTATTGAGTAACTCAGCATTGCGCGTCCATCCTCGTTTACTGTTTAGACTTGAACTGGAGCAGAAACCTAGACGATAACATTGAAACCGCCTGCAGTTTCACTTCTGACCCAGATCCTAGATTAAAGATTCCTCTTAGGCGCTTGTCATAGCTTCTGTTGATAACGTGTTGCGTGCATGATCTACTGTTTGTACAGGTTGTGAAGAATACTGCCTACAACCTCACGGAGCTGCACCCATACACCGAGTACGTCTTTCGAGTGATGTGGATTGTAACAGACAGCCAATATAAGTACTCGCCCGAAAGCCGACCGTACAAAACCAAGCCACAGGGTGGTAGGTGCCTTTTTTTAAAGAAAGCTATTATTAATTTTTATCTATAAGGTTTTTGCATTATGTACCGTGATTTTAAAAATGATCCTCAGTACTTTTGTACAGCAACAACAAAATTGCATTGATATAGCATCTTCCACATCGGGAGGACGTCCCAAAGTGCTAACACATTAAACCTTGCATTTGATATAGCCCCTTTCTCACTTGGGAGGATGTCTCAAAGTGCTTCAACGTGTAGTGACTGTGTATTTTCTAGGGGAATGTGGCAGTCAATTTTTGCACAGCGTTGTCCCACAAACAGCTTTGAAGTGAATGTCTGATTTTATCTGGGTGATTGTTGGCCACAGAAAAAGCTTCCTTTCATTCTTCTTTTTGAATAGTATCAAGAGATCTTTAACATGCACCTAAACAGGCAGGTGAGACTTCAGTTTAATGCCGCATCCTAAAGATAGCACCTCTGACAATGCACTGCATGGGAATGTCAGTCTAGACTGTGGGTTCAAAGTCCCGACTTCGGGCTTGAGTCCACAACCTTTTGACTCAGAAACAAGAGTAAAACTAACTGAGCTGGGCTGACACCCACACAAAGCTGACAAGCAATTTATATCGTGGATGGTTTAAAGCCATGTATTTTTCGGCTTAGTAAACAAGTTAAGTTTAAGCTTTCACATCAATGATTTGCAGTTGTTTTGGAAAGTCATTTGGCCTATTTTTTTCTTGTTGCAGTGCCATCATTACCACCTGAGATTGTCAGCATCGAGAGCCCCAGTCCTACCTCAGTATTTGCACAGTGGAGGAAACCCGCGTTCCTTAATGGACCATTAATTGGTTACCATATTCAACTTTGGAGCGACACTGAGCGTTTCCTCAGGGACGCAGACAGGGAGCAACAAAGCTATTCTATCTACCTTATTAAACCAGGCACAACATACAGGTACTTTATATGTGCTTGGACTTCAAATTGTCTCTTAAGTGTACGGTTGGACGAGGCAATTTTACTATAATTTTATACTATACTGTAACATTACATCCCCTCCGCTCCACCATTGGTGGCTGTGCCTTCAGCCACTACACCCCAAAACTCTGGAACTCTTTACTTCAATTTCTCCGCCTTGTCCCCTCACTCCTCACTTTCAAATTCCACCTAAAGACCTTCCATTTTGATCGTGCTTATGGTCACCTCCCCTCTTCCTCTCCCCCTGGCTTGGAGTCAGATTCTGCCACTGTCAAGTGCTCCGCGACGCTAGCCCACATGAAGGGATCTATATAAATGTAAGTTGTTGTATGCTAATCATCGCTTTTGATATAGTATCTTTCATGTCGAGATCATGTCTCAAAGTGCTGCACAGAATTGTAGAGTATACAAATGTAGAGTACACAAACTGTATTTTGTAGGTGAACACCAATTTGTGCACAGCAATGTCCCCAAAACAGCCATGAAATAAATGACTGACTGGTTTTATCTGGAGGATTGCTGACCTTGGAAAATTCCCTTCTTTTTTAAAGAAAATTATTATTGATTTTCAGAGTTTCAACCGAGACTATGATTTCAATGTCCTGAATTGTGGCTTGAACCCACAACCTTCTGACTCGGAGGCGACTGCCTGAGCCTGGCTGTAACCTTAAGTTGTGTTTAGGAACAAATTCTGGATGGCCCTTTCCAGAAATCACCCTTGTTGCCTTTATAAGAAAGTGATGCTTCATTTCAGAAGAATTCACTGAACATTGCGAAGCTGAGATGTAGAAAAATAGATCCACAGCAAAATAAACCCATCTTTCTTCTGTTGACAATGAATAAACCTTAACTTTTCTTTTGTTTCGGCAGAGCACCACAATTTTTTTTTTATCGATGTAAATTTTTTTTGTGTGTGACGACTCTGTAGGTTTTCCATAGCCGCTAGAAATACTGAAGGGTTTGGACCTGCAGCCATTACCAATATCAGCACCCTGTCTCAGCCAGGTAATTCAACCGTTTTATTGCACACTAACTGGAGGTAATGCTGCCTCATTGTGGGCTACCATTTTATTCATTCTAAGTTGTTTTTTAATAATCATAATAAATAATGATCTTTACATTTGATACAGTGCCTCATCAAGTTGTTGAGACGTCTCAAAGCGCTTCACAAAATATTGTAAAGTGGATTGATTGTATATTCTTGTGGGCGAAACGTGGCAGCCAATTGTGCACAGTAGTGCTCCACAAACAATCATGGATTGGGTGACCAATTTTTTTTTGAGGGATTATTTCCCCCCGAAAGCATTCCGTGAATCGACTATCAACCGGGTTCCTCCTTACTGCTGGGTAAACAGAGGTGTATGGCGTAAGGAAACTTGCCTAACGTTTTGCCCCGCCCGGGAATCGAACCCGGGTCCTCTCGCTTGCGAGACGAGAGTGCTAACCACTACGCTTTGGGACTCCATAATATAGTGTCTTATTCAAATGCATCAAAGTGCTCCATAGGATTTTTTTTATTGTTTTATGAATCTCTGATGAGATCGCCTCTAGGACTGTTTCTCTTGAGGCTGAAGAATCCCAGCTTGTTTAATCGCTGCTCATTACTAATTCCTCTAACATTGGGGATCATCCTCGTTGGCAGCATCTCCTTTGCACTGCCCTCAGGCAGCCCCTTTATGTCGGGGTGACTGGAACTGTACGTGGTACTCAAACCCCGCAAAGAAATATTGCAAAATGAATCCCTATAAAATGAAATAAGTCAATCCCGTTGGAGTTAAAGAATCGCACTGCTGTTCTGTTTAAATAATTGACATAAAAAAACTTGAAAATATATTTTCCGCAGAGTTATCCCAAAGTCTGATCCTTTGGCTGTCGAGCAACAATTCCCTGTATGAAAGTAAACCTGGAGATTTGGAAGAGATGTTCTGTTCCAGAGTCAACTGGATCACTCACAGAATCACTGGTATAGTAATCAACCTTACATCTGATAGAACGCCTTATCACGTCGTCGAGAAGTCTCAGAGCGCTTCACAGAATATAGTGTAAAGTGAATTGACTATATATTTTGGTGGGTGAACTGTGTCAGCTAATTAATCCACAGCAGTGTGTTTACTTAGTGTTCCAAGAGCGTCCAGAAACTGGCGAATTGTTGAATTCTGTCTTAGCTTTGAAGTTTTTGTTTTAATTTTACAGCCCAGAAAAAAAGCCATTTGGCCCATCATAACAATTTTAAATTCTGGATGCTCTGAAATGCTACATAAATGGAATAAATCTAGGCCCAGGTGTAATTTCTCCCCAAAGATGTATAAAATCCCCTTTAATTCATTTCGAGACCATCTTAAATTTGCTCTGACGATGCAGAATAAGTGACTCATTCAGCTGTTAAGTGTGACTGGCCCTCGAATGGATTTACATCGGTGATTTACAATTGCCCCGTGCTCCAAGCCTAGCTCCACTCGTGAAACTAGTTTGACCTACAACCCTGGTAATGCGGTCGGCAATTCTGATAACCTAGCGCTGCCCTCGGTTCAAGCACAAACCAGTTGTGCAAAGAATAATCAGTACGGGAATGAAGCACTTACTGTAATGTACAATAAAAGAAATTAAGCACTTACAGTAATGTACAATACAAGAATGAGGCACTTGCTTAGTTATGTTCCTTCTCCCCACCTCACATGAACCAGGAATATCCGGTGATGTTCGTAAGAAGGAGCTCTACATTTCTGAGGGGCAGAACATCTGGGTATTTTCCCTAAACAGCTGGAGCAGTTTCCGCCTGGTTTATCAGAGTGACCGACTCATCAGTGATCTTTCTGTTGATTGGCTGTACAGCAAACTCTACTTTGTTGTAGACCAGAAGGTAATGATGACTTTACTTACGAACAGCTTTACGTAGGGTTAGGTGCCGAGCGAGGGAGAGAGGAAATGAAGTGGAGGGGGAAGGTGGCCACAGGTGTGTTCCAAGAGGTAGGATGCAAAGGCAGATGACTTTCTGAGTAATGTTATTGGTGATGCTGTGATGTGCAGGTGATGACTGGTGGCTGCTCTTCATCACATTGTTTTATAACATGGGTTTATTGATTTATAAGAAGTTATGATAATAACATACTATAATAAATAATCTAATAATCCTTGCATTTAATATGTAGCCTTTGATGTCAGAAGGATCTTTCCAAGCACTTCAGGATTTAATGTGAAGTGTAGCGACTGTATATTTTGTAGGTGAATGTAGCAGCCAATTTCCGCACAACAATGTCCCACAAACAGCCATGAAGTGAATGACCAATTTTATTTAGGGGATTGTTGGCCTGGACACCGGGTAGAAACTCCTTTCTCTTTTCGAGCAATGCCATAGGATCTTTGATGGCAACAGGACCTCGGTTTAATGTTTCTTCCGGAGGATGGTTGAATACTGAGAGATTTGGTTTTGGGCACCCCCCAACAACAATCTTATATCGGGGTTTTACTTCATTTGTTTTATGTAATAAGGTAGTGATTATGTCCATTGACACAACATGGTCCTTGCTAAATGTGTACTGTAAAGGATTAATAGAAATTATTTGGATTCTTTATAGGTATTACGATGTGATCTCAAGAACTGCTCCACTGAAGTTGTGCTTACCCTAAACTCTTCTCCGGTTAAAACTGTAGTGGATCCATTTAGTGGGTGAGTCTAGGACGGACCATTCTTTGAAGCCTCGTCTTTCTTTTGCCTATGTTAATTCAATTGAAAATTGAAATAGGTCCTAAGCCTTGGCTCTTGCCAGTCTAAGCTTCAGCGTCCTGGGATGAGGTGAGTCCAGTGCGTTCCTCCGGAGAGAGTGCTTGCACATTTCTCCACTCCAGAGAAATGGAAATTTCCACGCACATGAGGGTTTGGATACTCTTAAGCATGGCGAGATGGGTCACTGAGTGTGTCAGACCTAGTCTGGCTGGCCAAAAAAATCCTCAAACAAGGGTGGAGTGGTGGGGGTGGTAGAAATTCCTCCCTCTCCAGCACTGCATTTGAGTGTCAGCCTAGACTTTGTGAATTCAGAGTCTCGACATGGAGCTTGAACCCCCAACCAGAGGCGAGCGTGCTAGCCTGGATCAGATGGGACTGGAGTGCAGGAATGGTCTGTTAGACACCAGGTTGGAGAATTAACATTGGCAGACGCAAGTGTCATTGTGTGATTCGATGAATTCCACTTAACCTTTTCTTTCTCCATCCCTTTGTCTAGGTATTTATTTATTGGGTTTTCAGACAGTTTGTACCGCAGGGTTTTACCGGGGCTAGACTTGGAGGCTGATGACCGCGATTCCCTCCTGGAACCCTTAGTCATGAATACTTCCCTTCTGACTTTCACTGTGAACCCGTCTTTTAAAAGAGTGGTTTACATCAACAGCAGAGGGGGCTCGGTGCATTACATCTTTTTGGACGGGACGGAGGCAAGCATGGACCATGTACTGCCATTTGACGATACAACCAGTGTCCGGCTCTTGGCTCTTGCTTGTAACCTGTGGTTCTTAAGCACAGGGAGGCAGGTCTATATGGCGGAGGAACACGAAGGGAGTTTGTACCCTATTGAGGTGAATGTGAAGCACTGTTTTTTAAAGGATGGTGATTTTGACAATTTGTTTTTATGGGGCTTGTCCACCCAGCCACTACCAGTGCCTCTTCATGAACCTACACACCTCCAAGTTCTCCTGGGATTCAACTCAGCAGCTTTCAGTTGGCGAAAGCCTCTAGCGGCCGCTGGACTTGGTATGTGATTGTTTTTTGTTTTAACCTCCAATGTTTAGTTCTGTAAAATAATGCTTACTTTATCGAGGATTTACTGGGCAAAATTAGCTACTGAATCTACAAATATTGTGCAGAAGAGACATTTAGATGTGCTTACCCTAACCTCTTTGGTTAAATAGAAAGACAAGGCTTTAAAGAATGGTCCATCTAAGACTCACCCACTAAATGAATGATACAGTTTTAAATGGAGAAAGAGGTTAAATGCATCTAAATGTCTCTTCTCCACAATATTTGTAGGTTTCAGACTTTTGCGCAAGGCACTTAACTTCTGTTGGAACAAAGAAGGTTGAGGGGTGACCTGATAGAAGTCTTTAAACTTATGAGGTGGTTTAAGAGAGTCAATAGAGATGCTGTCATGGCGGCAACAACAACAAAAATAAATTGCATCTATATAGCACCTATCAAGTCAGAATGATTTCCCAAGGTGCTGGACAGTCCAGGGTTGGGGTTTGGAATCAGAGGGGTGGAAGCCAAGAAGGATATGGGTGGGAGAATGACCAAAGGCACGGTCAAAGAGAAAGGTCTTGAGATGGGCCTCGAACAAGGAAAGGTGAAGTGATTCTGGGATGGAGTTCCAGAGGATGGGGGCTCAAAAGCTGAAGGTCCGACTGCCAACCATGGGGCGGTTAGGGCGGGAGACATGGAGCAGGCCAATACTCGGTCGCAGAGGTAGGGAGGAACAAATCCGTGGAGGGCTTTGAAAGTGAGGACGAGGATCTTAAACTTGATCCACTAGGGGATGGGGAGCCAGTGAAGCCCGGCGAGGATAGGGGTGATCAGCTCATGGAGCTTGGTGCTGGAGAGAAGGATTGTCGTTCAGTGGCATTGACTTTCAATTATAGGTCCGAATGCTTGGCAGCAGTGGTCATATGATGTGACAGTTTCAAGTGACATCGTAAGCAACCATAAGGAAGGAATCACGTCAACAAACATTACGTTGCGTGGTTTAAACAGTTCAACTGTGTATGGATTTAGGGTGCGTGCATCATCTCCAGGAGGCAAAGGTCCATGGTCTTCAATATTCTACGGAACAACGCTGCAACAAGGTAAAAGGACCACAGCACTGACATTCAATTACAGTGCTGGGGGTGCATTCCGTTGTTAGAGGTGCCATCCTTTTGTTAGAAAATAAAATCAGCCATAATCCGTTTGCAACCAGATATCAGACTGTTTTATTATTATTCGTTCGTTATTCCCCAATATCCCGATAGACCAAAGGTCGGTACAATCAACAGATCTTATAACGGAATAATACCACCGTAGATATCTCGAGTTCAACACTGTGTCTTTACAGCACACAAGGAGTCCTGTAGCTCAGTAGTTAGAGCACTCGCTTTGCAAGTGAGAGACCTGAGTTCAATTCCAGGCAGGGCGAAACCTTGGGCAAGTTTCCTTACTCCACACAGAGCCTAATAATAATTCCTCCAAAAGCCAAAAACAATAATAAATTGGTCATTTTCAATCTACGACTGTTTGTGGGACATTGCTGTGCGCAATTGGCTGCCGCGTTCGCCCACAAATGTGCAGTCAATTCACTTTACAGTGTGTCTGTGAAGCGCTTTGGACGTCCTCCCGACGTGAAAAGCGCTATATCAAATGCAAGGATTATTATTATTAAGCTTGATTCTTCATGCTTTTAGTCTTCTTGCTTACAGCTTTCAATCTTCCATCTGATATCCTCAGTCTTAGTGTTTCCAGCTCTCAGTCTTCCATCTCCCGTACCCTTGTCTCCACAGCTCAGGACAGCCCCATCTCCCGTACCCTTGTCTCCGCGACACGGGACGGCCCCATCTCCCGTACCCTTGTCTCCGCGACCCGGGATGGCCCCATCTCCCGTAACCTTGTCTCCGCAACCCGGGACGGCTCCATCTCTCTTATCCTTGTCTCCGCGACCCGGGACGGCCCCGTACACAAAGTTATCGGAACTCTTATACCGATGTTCGTCCAACCATGGTGTGGACATTAGATCACCTGGTCGAAATCATGTTGGGTTCACGTGAACACCTCATGGGGTGTACGTGCCTCAGCACACATACACATTGTCCTGAAGACCCCTGTTATCTGATGCTTGTTATTTTGTTAGGTGGGATCATTAGTATATTCCTTTTAAGTGACTGGTTATTTCTTATCAGTATCCCGGGATGGTACCAAGGTCCTCTAGTTTAAGCAACTTGCTCATTAGCTGCTATTCTTGAGGGTTGCCTTCTGTTGCTCTTGAGTGTTAATCATGAGTGTCAGTCCAGTTGCCCCCCACACTTAACTTAAAAGTTAACCCGTTCGCAACATCTATTATGATTTTAACATTATACAAAAAGTGTAAATTCTAACACTTTGGATGAGATGCTGAACTGAGGCCCTGTTTGCCTGTTCAGATGGAGTTAAAGATCCCATGGCACGACTTAAAAAGAGAAGGCAATTTGTCCCCGTGTCTTGGCCAACAATCCCCCAGTTAAATTGGTCAGTAGCTTCCTGGCTGTTGGTGGGACATTGCTGAGGGCAAATTATCTGCTGCATTCACAAATATACGTAGACAGTCATTACACTTAACAGTGTATCGAGCTAAGTGACATGAAAGGATGCAAAGATTATTATTAGGATTATTATGATTCTGACTGGTGACTGACAGAATTGTTTGAATATACATTTATAAATGTAATGAGAAATCATGCTGTACAGATGGGCAATTTTAATTTCAGATATGATGTACTGGTGGAGGATGATTTTGGAGATTTATCTGTAAAATAAATTTAGGTCTTTTATCATTCCTGAAAGGGTTTTAATTTAAACGTCTCTCACATGAAAGGCTAGATAACATGTTGATGTACTGATGCAGATGATTCTCTTTATCTTTGTGATTTACAATTTAACATTTGGGGAAAATGTCACTTTTTTCTACTTGATGTATTAAATTGGGACAGTACTTAACCTTGCCACTAGATGTCGAACATGCACTTCTTTACAAAACATTCAATGAGTTATTTAAATACCAAGATTGGAATACAACCCTTGGCTTATATTTTAAGGATACCGATGCTTTCAGATTTTGTATCTTTCCAGCTTCCCACTTTTTCCCACTGTTTATGTAGCTCACTATGTATCCCAAATTGTAAAGTGATATAAAATTATGGCGCAGAAAACAATAAGGTAAGCAGATTCTCATAGTAAATTACCAAATCATTCTGAGAATAAATAATGCTTGCATTTGATATGGAGCTTTATCACATTGTCAGGATGTCTCAAAGCGCTTGACGTGATTTTACTCGTGAAGTGTAGTGACTGTATTTGTAGGTGAACGCAGCAACCAATTTGCACCCAGCAATATCCCACTGTACTGATCTCTGTTCCTAGAAAATGAAATGTATCTGAAAATTTTCTGTCAAATGGAAACAGCACCTCGTGTTAGTTTTTTGCCTGTCCCAAATATTTAGGAATGACTCCCTATTGTAACTAGACTCGTTCATTTCCAAGTAACCTTGTGATTATTTTTGCACATTTAACAAATGTAGTTTTTCCTATATTAATTTGATGGGATTTTTTTTCTGCTTGTAAATGTAACATTGGTAATTCAAGTCTGCTCTATGTTTTGTGTTTTCTTAAAGATACCAGCCCCTACATCCTAGCAGGAACTGATCTTGGGACCTGGAAAGTATTCTTGGATAAATTTGAGAATGAAATTGCACTGCCTAATGTGACGAATGTAAAAGGTACACAGTAGTTACAGTGTGGAACTTGTGGTGTGTTAAACCTGGCTGTAATCTTTTGTATTAAACTAACCTGCCAAAACATCTTTTAATGGTGGGAGCTTTGATTAGCAATAAACGTTTTACAGTTCTGTTATTGTAAAACCACCATTAAAAATAATTACCTTTTTCCTGTGCTACGGCACTGAGGACCTGCCCAGAGAGCCTTGAACGTGTAGTCTTATGACCTGTTGATATGTTGTGGTGAGACTGTTGTGCCTCTGAGACTAGGAGGCCTCTTTTGCTTAATACTTTGAGGGGAACACGTGACCCCCCCTCCCAGCCTCTCCCGGTTTCTCAACTGGATTTAAAGAGAAGCCCTACTTTTGTCTCTGCCTTCCCCAATATTGTTTCTCTTCCTCTGTGAGCTTCCAGTCTAAAGTCCTGATGGTTTACCTGGCCTCTAGCCCTGCTTTGCGGAGGGCTCTACTGATTTACTTGATTTACTCTACTGAGGGTGGAAGTTTTCTAGGGGATTAATGAACGTTGACATGCACAGGATCATAACATCACGAGATCGGTTTGGATGAAGAAGACAGTTTTATTTTAATTGCTGTGCGCAATTGGCTGCCACGTTTTGCCCACAAAAATATAGAGTCAATCCACTTTACAGTATATCCTGTGAAGCACTTTGAGACGTCTCGACGACGTGAGGAGACGCTCTATCAAATGCAAGAATAATTATTATTGTTATTATTAAGACCATTCTCATCCATCCAGGACCCCCACCCTACCATCCCCCCAAGAAGCACAACATGAGGCTGCTTTTAAATCAGCCCTATGTCTTGGCCTCCAGCACCCTTTGTGAGCTTCATGATCCAATCCATGTTGTTGGAGCTCAGGTTTCAATAACCTGCAACTCCTGCTCTCTTAATCCCCAAATTGACAATACAATACAATGTTGTCAATTCCCCAGATTATCCAGATATGAGTTGGAGGAGTTTAAACTCTTTCATAAAAAAAATGGATCACAAAATTTGCAACACATGTTTTTTTTGCAGCTAAGATTGTCAGGTGACCAGCTACTTTAAGACAGCCTTTACCTTTCGGCTGTTATTTATTTCCTCTTGGTTGACATCCATTTGGCAGGCTGTTACCTTTACTTAATCCGGGCTGTTTTTAAACGTTTTCTTCAATTTCTTTGATTTTGCCTTAAATTGAAAACATCTTGTATGATTAAACCCGATTGATTGTCACGGTATACAGAAAAGCACCCGGGGAAGTAAGATCAGACTTGTCCTGTAACAGCTGACAGAGGTTTAGGCTCAAAGCTCTCTGCCCTCGGAGGACAGCAGCCACGAGACGTGAAAGAACATTTCATGGCCACGCTGTTTGTTTACCGTTCCATTATGACCCTACCCTGTGTGAAGGGTGCTATATCCAATAATATTAATAATAATAATGCTTGCATTTGATGCAGCGCCTTATTAAAGTGCTTCACAGAATCTATTTTAAAGTGGATTGACTATATTTTGTGGGCGAAACGTCGCAGCCAATTGCGCACAAAGGTGACCCACAAACAGCTGTGAAGTGAGTAATCGATTGTATTTATTTTTGGAGGGATTATTACCCCCTTAATAATACGAATATATTAATAATTACTACTCGTCAATAAATATGCGATTTATTAATTACATTATTAATTAATAAATAATAATAATGCAACAATACACATTAATTTAGAATATCCAACTCCTTTCCCATCAGGAGGATGTCCCAAGGGGCTTTTGCTTGTCTTGGCTTGTCACCCAGCTGGGGGTGGGAGTTGAGGAATGTGAGGAGGAGAAAGATAACCAAATGTGCAGTCAAGCGGGTAGGTCTTGAGACGGATCTTGAACGAAGAGATAGAGGAAGCTAGTCAGAGGGACTCTGGGATGGAGCTACAGAGAGTGGGGGGAGATTGTCTGAAAGCCCCATTGTCAATGGTGGGGCAGGTAGGGCAGGGGCATGAAGCAGGCCGGATATTGATGCTGCTGTTGTTGCATTTTCCTGTTTGAATAGTCTTAATCCCGATTCACAATCCCTATTCCAATGATGTAACCTATCTGCGATAACGCTTTGTGTTTTCCTTTCGCAGATATGGACTGGGTCAATAATACCCTCTACTGGGCAAACTCCAGCGGCGTGGCTCACATCACATCCTTGGCTGAGACGGGCAGTGAGACGGTGGTCGTGCAGGGCTCACAGAACGTGGGAGCGTTAGCTTTGGACTGGATAAGCAACACCCTGTACTGGGTGGACAACAAGAGAAATTATGTACGCTTCAGAGCGCCTCGATGTATCACTACAAAAGCATTAAATTATTAAGAAATGGCGCTTTACTCATTACAATTGCAGCACAATTTAGATTTATATAGCGTCTTTCACGTTGGGAGGATGTCTCAAAGTGCTTCATTTACTCAGTCTGCCTGGAAAACGCACAGTCGCTTCACTTTACAGTAAATTCCTGTCAAGTGCTTTGAGAAGTCTTCTCGACTTGACAGGTATTATATCGAGTGTAAGGCTTATTATTAATATCAAAGGTATTGTATGGGACAAGTAGCCGTGATCCTGACCAAGACTTATTCACAGTTCAAGTGCCTGGTTCAAATGATCCTTTTGTTCTGGGAAGGTGGGAGTGCCAGCAGATAAAGAGGAAACCCTCTTCTGGGATGCTACCCTCTTCTGAGATGCTACCCTGAGTGGAGGACGTTATATAAGTTGTTGTTGTTGCAATGTTAAACGTTTCTGTTTCCTGACAAACTGATACCCAATTTCCAAATGGTGCATAGTCCGTGCTAAACCCCTGTGGGCTTATTCTAGTGTTCTAACGACTCTGTGACTGACCCACTCTTAACATTCAAAAAAAAGATTGCCCCCTCTAAGGTCTTGCAGTCGATGTGCAATATTAGTAGAAAGAATGTTGTAAGATTAAATCACGCTGTTGCATTTTGCTTGTGAGATACAGGAGTAATAGTACTTGCATTTGATACAGCGCCTCAGCATGTCTTTGAAATGTCTCAAAGCGCTTCAGAGAATTTTACAGTTAAGTGAAGTGACTGTATTTATAGGCCCAATGTGACAAATAATTTGCACGCAGCAATGTCCTGCAAACATGACCAATCTTACCTGAAGCATTGTTGGCCGGGACACCTGGAGAAACTCCCTTCTCTTTTTGAGTAGTGCCATTCTCTCAATGTCCTGGGAAACTTGTCTTCTGGATAAAATTGCTGACTCACTTTGTGATCGTTTATGGGAATTTGCCATGCACAGATTGGCTGCCGTGTCCGCCAACAAGATACCCCTATGCTGCACTTTACAGGAACCTCTACAAAGTACTTTGGGATGTTTTGATGCAATAATGATGATAATAATAATATAATAATCCTTGCATTTGACTTATCATGTCATTGAGTCACCTCAATTCATTTTACAGTATATTCTGTGAAGCTGACAGTATATTCAGGTTCACAGAGTATCCTGTGAAGGGAATCGACTGTGTATTTTGTGGGCGAAAATGTGGCAGCCAATTGCGCATAGCAATGTCCCACAAACAGTCGTGCAATAAGCCCAGAATGGAAAGCTAGTAGTAGTAGTAGTACTGTTGTAGCACTAGTGATTTTTGGAATAACTCGCCTCATTTGTTACTTATCAGTATCTTTCTCTGTCTGTCGTTTGAAGATATTTCGGCTGCCTTTGGATGCCGACGTACCTGTGAAAGTCAGAGTCGTGGTTGGAAAGGTCCAGGATCTCCAGCTGGATGCGCTGCAGGGCTACATGTATTGGACAACGGCACAGACAGTGGAATACTCTCTCATGAACGGAAAACGACCGGGTTTCATTGAAGAACTGCCTAATTTTTCGGGTAAACAGGTGAACAGCATTTCAGAAACCCCTTTCGAACCTAAGCGGGAAAAAAAATAGACTGGGCGAGTGTGAAATGTTTGTGTTTCTCAACATATCGTGTTGTTAGATTTCAGGGTTGACAGTGGATTTTGATCATGGTGTAGTGTATTGGTTGACCCAGGATAGCACCAGACTTGAAATATATCAGGCTGACCTTGTCAAGAAAGGGTAAGTGAATCAAAGGAAACAAACGGTCTCAATAATTCTCATTACCGTGATTCCTATAGTTCGTATAATTATACTTTTGGCCTGTTTTGGAAGGTGCAATATTACATGCTTGAATTACAAGAAGAATGATAATCCCTGCATTTGATGTTGTGCCTTTCGTGTCAGGAGAATCTCTCAAAGCATTTCACAGAAATACGTAAAGAGTAGTGACATTTCATAGGTGAACGCGGCAGCCAATTTGCCCTTGGCAATGTCCCACAAACAGCCACGAAGGGAATAATCAACTTTATCTGGAGGATTGTTGACCAGGACTCCAGGACAGACTCCCTTCTCTTTTCGAGCAGTGCCGTGAGACACTTAACGTCCATTTGAATGGGACCTCGGTTTAAAGTCTCATCTGAATTGATCGGCTTCATGTGGGACATTGCTGCGCACAGATAAGCTATTGAGGCTGCCTGCAAATTCACAGTCATTGCACTTTACAGAGAGCTTTGTGAATCATTTTGAGAGATTTGGCATGAAAAGGCGCTATGTCAAATGCAAGTGTTATTACTTATTTTAGAAAGTCAAAGTATAGTGCGTTGAGTCCAGTGAGCATCAAGAGATAACTATTTTGCCAAAATTCATAGCTAGAGCTTGGCGTGCCAGTTTTGTTTGATTTTGATCACCTGATTATTGCCCTAACCCAGTATTACTGTTGTGTTTTTTTTCCCCCCCTCCAGGCACAGTGATGGACGCACAGCTAAAATGGTCTTATTCTCTGACTCTTTGAAAACCTCCCAACATGCACTCCAGTACTACTGTGGCCGGCTGATCTGGATCAATGAAGAAGAAGTTTTGCAGATAGTAGAACTGGAAAGGAGCCAAGCTGTTCACATCTCTCGCTCAGTGTCTGTGACAGCGTTTACTGTGGTGAACCCAAAACCACTGCCAGGTGAGTCACAATAAGCTTTTTGTTGGACTGCTTTTGAAGTGCTGAGAAGAAAATGAAAACATGGCCATTATCTATCGCGATGCGCCTGCACTGTTTCGCGCTTTTTAATGACGTGCCCTTAATGGGGACTTGTCCACTTGCTCTATTGCAATGCACCTGGGCTCTATCGAAACGTGTTCGCTTTCAGTCGAGTGTGATTGTTTAAACTGGGACTAATCTGTGTATTTGCAGATACCAAACCAATTTCAGATTGCAGGTTTAGTTTAAAATCTAAAGCATTCATGTAACTTAACTGCTTCCCCACTCTCTCTTTGAAAAATAATACAGTACCTATAAATACAATTGATCCCAGCGCTCAATGTGTCGCTCGCCTCAAACAAATATCTTCTGTGCGGGGAATTGAATGTGGGTTGTTTACATTATTATTAGTGTCAGCTTGGCTCAGTTGCAAGCACTCTTGCCTCTGAGTCAGAAAGTTGTGCCCTACATCAGGAATCTGAACTCCTATAGTCTGGGCTGATACTCCAATGAACTGCTGGGTATATGTTGAGTTGTCAGAGGTACATCTTTCAGATGAGACATTAATACCAAGGTCCCCTCTATGCCTGTGCAGGTGGACGCTAAAGATCCCATGGCACTATTTGAAAAGAGAGGGGAGTTCCTCCTGATTGTCCTGGCCAACAGTCCCCCAAATAAAACCATTATTCATTCATTCACTTCATGGCTCTTTGTGGGACATTGCTATGTGCAAATTCGCTGCATCATTCGCCTACAAAGTACAGAGTCACTGCACTTTACAGTGTATCCCGTGAAGTGCTGTGAGGTGTCCTCCCGACATGAAAGGGGCTATGTCAAATGCAAGGATTATTACTGCTGCCTTTTCCACTTAATGAAGAAGGCCTTAGTTGGATATACATTCGGTGCGAATCACCTTATGTGTTCCACCTGCTGTATTTGATTCCACTACAAGTTCTGTCTTTCAACAGTGATTTCTTTTCTGAAGGGTTGCTGTGTAAAGCCCAGGAGAAGAATCCAATTGATATGAGGAAGGAAATCTCCTTTGACTACATCTGCTAGCAGTCATTTGGTTCCACGCAGTCTGAACGCTGTGAACTGATTGAAAGCAGTATATTAGTAAAGTGGGCCTCCCCCAAATGTTGTGGCAAGCTTAGAAACGTGTATGTGTGTGTGTGTGTGCATGTGCGTGTGTTCATGTGTGTGGGGGGAGGAATTTTTGAAGCAATTTTCTATATAATTACCTTCAAAGCACAGTACAGCTGCCAAAATCTAACAGTTCAGTGTCCAATTGGATGTTTTGCTTAGTTTACAGGGCAATTCAGGTTGAAATAGAAATAAATGGCTTGAGGAGTATCCTGGCGTGCTAATGATAGGATCACGCTCCACTTAAACAGGGGAAAGAAGCAGAATTCAAAACAGAACTACCCAATCTCCGAGGAGCTAACCAACAGCAGATAACATGGTGACATGGCGTCCAGAAAGCTGACTTCCAAGAATCTCTGTAGGGAAGAGAAACTAAAACTAAACTGCAATCATAATCCTCGTGTTTTTGATATAGCAACTATCATGTCGAGAGGACATCTCAGAGCGCTTCCCAGGCTTTGCTGTAAAGTGTAGTGACTGTGTATTTTGTAGACTGCGTGACTTGGGAAAGCGGGTCAGCCTGGCTCAGTTGTTTTCTCTCTTGGCTCAGAATCAGCGAGTTACGGGTTCGAGCCTCGCGTTGAGGTTTTGAACTCACGTAGTCCAAGCGGACATTGCAGTGTACTGCAGTGATGGGGATGCCGTCCTTTGGCTAAGATGTTGAACCCAGGTCCTTTCTGCCTGTTCGGGTGAATATTAAAGATCCCATTGCAGTTTTGTAAATAAATTCTCCCGTGTCCTGGCCAACAATCCCCCAAATAAAATCGGTCATTCACTTCTTTAACTATTTGTGGAACATTGCTGTGTGCAAATTGGCTGCTGCATTTTCCTACAAAATATACACCCACTATACTTTTCATCTATCACTGGGGAATCATTCTTGTTGCTCGCCTCTGCACTAGCTCCAAGGTCTGGACAGCCTCCTTCTGATCAGAAGCATATGCGGTATTCAAGGTGCGGACCGACCAGAACACTGTACAGCCTGAGTAGAACATCCGGCGATCTACACTTAACTGATTTCACCCACAAAATATACAGTCAATTCACTTTACGGTATATTCTGTTAAGCGCTTGCAGACATCTCTTAGATGTGATAAGGCGCTATATCAAATGCAAGGATTTTTATTATTATTATTATTAATACAGTCCAGCATCCTGTTTGCCTTGTTTATTGCTTTTGGCATTGTGTGTGATACTTGAGTCAGTTAACACCTCTAGATCTCTTTCAGCTTGACCCATGGCAAGTTCAATCATCCATGCGAAGACAGAGAGACAACACTCACTTATTAATGTCTTGCATTCCTTCTAGATGGCTTCTCTGATCTTCCACTTGTGATTCCTGAGCCAATACCGGCAGCTTCATTTAATATACAAGGAAATTCTTCAGAGTTCTGTATTTCATGGAGAGAGGCAAGAAACGTGAATTTTGGTTTGCTGTTTTACTGGTTTGAATCTCAAACTCTCTTCAAAGTTGAGGTAAGTGTCAGAATGAACACTGCTCTGCATGATCCAAGTGTCTTTTCCTTATACAGATATGGCCCCTTCGTCGTATTGAATGTGAAATGTTGATTGGAAACATTGGCGTTCAATTATCTGCTGAACAAATCGTGTGGTATGTGTGACTATGATTCTGACACTGAGAAAGGTCCTGTAATTTTGGCTTTCATTTTTAAATTTCAAGATTAATTCGGATGAAGAAAGCGGTCCCAGCTACTTGATCTCATCCTTCCAGAACAGCTACCCTACCAACCGCCCATCACTGCATCAAGCTGTGTTTCAAATCAGTCCAGTGTCCTGGCCTCAACCACCCTTCCAAACAATGTATTCCAGTCGTTAATTACCCTCTGAGTAAAGAAATACTTCTGGTGTCTGTCCTGAAATTTCCCTTTCTAAATCTATATTGTATTAATCCACTGTGTTGATGTGTTCTAAAGTATTGCTCTGGGTTTACCTTTTTAAATCCCATTAAAAAAAAATTGTACCTTTATGAAGTCCCTCTGAAGTCCCATCTTGTTACACCTCTATCTTGTTTACCTGCTCTTTAACTTGAGGTGGTGAGTTGGTGACAGAAAACCGTTGATATTTAAAAGCTTCCGTCTGCTGCTCTTTTAGGATCTCAGTGTTCCTTGTTATTGTGTAAGTGGGCTGGAGCCTTTCACGGAGTTTGATGTTGCAGTGAAATCGTACACATATTGGGGATCTGCAGAGCAGACACGAACCAGCCTTCGTTCTCCAGAGGCTGGTACGTTGGCATAAATACGTGCATTAAACATTAACGTGCATTTTAATTAACTTGCAATTGAAAACAGTGAAGGCACATTCCCAACATTTGATAAATCTGTCAAAGCGTAACTCTTTGACCGTGTTTTCAGTTTTCTTTCCCCTCCCTACCCATCTTCTGGATAGGCTCAACAGTGCCTATCAAGTTCTGTTCAGCACTTTGAAAGGTCCTCCCAATATGAAAGACGCTATGTATAAATGGTACAATGGCTGAAATCCATTTGAAGGTGAGAAGGAGGGTCTTGAATGAGCCTAGTCTGACCTGAAAATCATACGATCTGAGAATAGGATAATTAAAAAAAAGGTGCTGGCGATTGTGCTTTCATGGTCAACCTTAGAAATTTACAGAATTTAGTTTTAGAATTATTTTTCCTTTATTTCTAAATGCAAATAACATCCAGGATTTGAGGTGGGGGGTAGTGGGGGGTGAGATGGTCTACATTGTCCTCCGGATGAAACGTTAAACCGAGGTCCCATCTGCCTGTCCAGGTGGAAGTTAAAGAATACAGTACATGATTCAAAAGGAGAAGGGAGTTTTTCCCCGTGTCCTGACTGACAGTCCCCCAGATAAAATTGGTCACTCACTCTGTGGCTATTTGTGGGATACTGCTGCGTGCAAATTGGCTGCTGCTTTCGCGCATAAAACACGCAGACCCACTACTTTACAGTATAACCTATGAACTATTTATAGACGTCTCGAAGACATGATAAGATGCTATATCAAACATAAGGATTATTGTCTTTTCAGCACCATCTGCTCCTGAGAATCCAAGAATTTATATGAACCCACAGAGAAATGTCCAGGGCGACATTGTGGACACAGAAGTGGAATTTCGGTGGAACAAGCCAGCCCATCCTAACGGTGTTTTGAGGGGCTACACAGTCTTCTACACTACAGAGAACTGCCCATCCATTGCAGAGCGCGGGGCACTGGTCAACGTAAGCGCGGACACCACCACCTTCAAGATTCACGGAGCGGACCCGGAGAAAAACTATTGTGTTCAGGTAAATCTGCCGTCTCTACTCATTCTCTACACTTTACTGTATATCCTGCGAATCACCTTCAGACTGCTTCCTGATATGAAAGTCCCTATGTCAAATGACAGATTTATTTATTTCAAATGTACTCTGTGTGCTTTCACATTTCCTACTTTTAAACTCATTCCAGAACTGCTTCATTTTTTTCAAATTAGCTCTGTTTTTCAGCTTTTATTTTGTTTTACCCAGCAGGTGTTTTACCCATTTTAACACATGATTACTCACAAAGTAGTTGTATTCTTGTGGAATTGGAACTTAAAGGAAAACTCCATTTTACATTGGCAATAATAATAATGATGATAATAATAATCCTTATGTTTGGTATATTGCCTTTCACGTGAGGAAGTATCAAAGAGATTTCTGTGAAGCGAAGTGACAGTGTATCTTGTGAGCGAGCTCAGTAGCCAGTTTGTGAACATTAATGACCCACAATCATCCACGAAGGGAATAAGTAAGTTAATTTGGGGGCTTTTAGCCCGGCCACCCGGCAAAACTCCCGTTTTTTCGAAGACTCCTCTTTTCAGAGAGTGCCATGGTAGTTTAAGCTTGGCACAGTGGGTCGTCAGAGGGTTATGGGTTCAAACCCCATGTTGAGGCTTTGAGCTCACAATCTAGTACGGTGTTAGGGAGGGTGCTGCATCCTCTGAGATGTTTGGAAGAGCTGGTAAGCCGAGATCCTGTCTGCTTGTTCTTTGGGTGGAGGTTAAACATCCACTCTTTATGAAGAGATAAGAGTTTCTCCTGGTTTTCTGTCTAATAATGATCTAAACCAGTTATTCACCTCATGGCTGTTTGTGGGACCTATATGTGCAGAATGTGGCTGCTATATTTGGCTACAAAGAAAGCAGTCACTACATGTGACCATAATTCCTACAAAAACGCTTTGGGGTGCTACAAATACACAGCCACGAAACTTCTTGTAAGCAGAGGCGTGTGGAGTAAGGAAACTTGCCTAAGGTTTCGCCCTGCCCAGGAATTGAACCCGGGTCCTCTCGCTTGCGAGGTGAATGCGCTCACCAATATACCCTATGGGAGCAAGTCACCGCAGTGGCAGGGAGTGGCAGCCAACACTGGGGATATGCTGCAGGGAATATTTTCCCAATAAGATTAGTTCCTGTCTGGCAAGATTGTTGGCACCTTTCATTATTTAGATCCTCCGCTGCTTCCTATTGCCAGATAAATTACATCGGGAAGAATCCGAAATGTCAACACAGCAGTGAATTCCTAAAATGTGGCTCAGTCTCTTTGGGTTTTCTGTATCAATGGTAATCTTCCACCCTGGCGATTGAAGTTAATGCTGTCTTTCTATTGTACTTGTAAGAGCAGTACTGACTGGGTTTTAGCTGGAGAAGGAGCAGGAAGCTGTGGTCACATTACCTGCTTGGATTACTGTGCAGTGATGGGATTTGTGTGTATGAGCTGAGCTCCACCAAAGGGCATATTGCTTACTGGCCTTTAATTGTCAGTGAGATACGTGCTGACTGAAAAGAGATGTTGGGAACACCTAGTTCTGTTCGTTCAATAGAAATTGAATGATGATTCCCTCATCTTCCAATTTTTTTTGAAACAGAAAATAATAATTATTATGCTTGTATTTTGACATAGTGCCTTATCACGTCATCAAGATGTCTTAAAGCACTTCTCAGGAGTTTCCTGTAAAGTGGCGTGACTATGTGTATTTATGTGGATGATGTGGCAGCTAATTTGTGCACTGCAATGTCCCACAATCAGTCATAGAGTGAGTGAGTGACCAATTTTATTTGGGGGAATTGTTGGCCAGGACACGGAGAGAAACTCCCTTCTCTTTTCAAATAGTGCTTGGGATTTTTAACATCAACCTGAACGGGCAGAAGGGACAGAGGTATTACGTCTCACCTGAAGGTGGTATCTCCGACAATAAATGCATCCAGTGCATTGTATTGGAGTGTCATCTTAGATTATGAGAGTTTCAAATCCCATCGTGGGGCTTTCTGACTCAGAGGCAGGAATGCTAACAATTTGGGAGGACACGTTTGCAGGCCTATGGGGAGAGAGTGGGGGAGTGGGATTGAATTGGATAGCTCTTTTCAAAGAGCCAGCACAGACACGATGGGCTGAATGGATTCCTTCTGTGCTGTATAATTCTATGATTCTCAATCAGTAGAACACTTCTTTCTGAGTCATGAAGGATATGGGTTCAAGCCCCATGTCTTTGTGACTATGAGCTCACAGTCTAGACTGACACTGCATTTCGGATAAAGATCCCATGGCACTATTTGAAAAGGGAAGGGAGTTTCTCCCAGTGTCCTGGTCAACAATTGGCCATTCACTTCATGTTTATTTGTGGGACATTACTGTGCGCAAATTGACTCTAATGTTCAAAAATATTTATTGTGCCATTTGATGTTTAATGTGGAACTGATTCATCTCTCTGTGGTGTGCTGTGAATTGCTTTATGAGTGATAAAAATTGTGTTGTAACGCGTGCTTGTGCCTTTTCTAGGTGGGAGGGTTCACGAATGCAGGATCAAGCATCAGAACACCTGTTTTGATGGGAAATGCAACAGGTTAGTGTACACACAGGAAGATTAAACACCAGTCACGTCATTGATTGTTTTAAATTTCCTCTCAACATGTGAATCAGGTCAAAAGGCCAATTCAATTCTAATTGGCTTGGTGAAGCAATAATAAATAATAGCAATGATAATAATAATCATCATTAATAATAATAATAATCCATTTCAATCCTTGAAATGTTAAACCGAGGTGCCGTCTGCCTGTTGAACGTTAAAGATCCTGTAGCACTAGTCGAAAAGAACAAACAAACAACAAACAAAATTACATTTGTATATCGTCTTTCACGTTGGGGGGAATATTTTCCCAGTGTCTTGGCCAACAGTCCTAGCTGTTTGTGGAACATTGCTGTGTGCAAACTGGCTGCCACATTCACCTACCAAATACAAGACAATACACTTAACAGCAATTACTGTAATGAGCTTTAAGGTGTTTCGACTTTGAGGTGCTGCATCAAATGCAGGATTCTTTTCTTTTGTTGAACCACGTGTTTCTGGAGCTGTCCTGTTTAATAATACACCTTGCATTTGATATAGCGCCTTATCGCGTTGTTGAGACGTCTCGCAGCGCTTCACAGAATATATCGTAAAGTGGATGACTAAAATTAGAATGAATGAAAATGAATGAATTAAAATGAAGTTGCGTTGTTAGCCGAGCGCCTGACGCACTGAGACCCACCATCACCAATGACCTTCCCTGCACCTAGCTACGGAGTCTGTACCCTATCTGTTGGCCATTAAGGACAAAGGGGTGGTTCTGCTGGATATGGACACCAGTACAGTGGTGCAGAAGATGCCTGTTTCTGCTGTAAAGGACATGGGATACATAAAGCGTACACAGAGGCTGTATTATTTGACGGAAAACATGATTATGAGCACAAGTTTGGACGGTAAACATCAGACTCAGGTAAGCTCCTTCTGTATTTTTACAGCAAATCATTGCCAGCTTAACCAACGCATTTTAACTTGAAAAGCTAAACTTTGTTTTTTTTTCTCTTTCCTCGAATCCCCTGGTCAGCTTATTGAGAGCGTTCTGAGCAGTGTCCCTGGAGAGATGACTGTGGACTGGATCGGGCGAAAACTCTACATGGTTTTGGATCTGCAGGAAGGTACCAGCAGTTCAGTGTGTGCCCTTGATCTCGAAGTTCGTGGAGCGAAACTGGAGAAGCTCGTGTCCAGCAGCGAGCGCATTCACTCAATAGGAATATATCCGCAGAAAAGGTATTTCCCGCGGCTCTATCTTCCCGGCTGCTCCCTTCGCTCAGTGATCCCAGGCCTGCTTCATGTCCTCCGCCCTGTCAGTCCCATCATCAGCAAGCAAGCTTTCAGGAATTCTAAATTTCTCTCTGGAACTCTAACCCGGAATCCCTCGGACTCCCCAGCCAGCCGTGTGAAGCACGGTTTGAAACATCCCCCCGATGCGAAAGGTTGCATGCAAATTTTAATTAATAATAAAAATAACCCTTGTATTTGATATAGCGACTTATCACGTCTTTGCGACATCTCAAAGTGCTTCACAGGATGTACTGTAAAATGAATTGACCGTATATTTTGTGGGCGAAACACGGCGGCCAATTGCGCACAGCAGTGTTCCACAAACAGCCGTGGATTGAGTAACCAAATTATTCTTTTTTCTTTGTTGAAGGGATTATTATCCCCGGAAACGCGATCCGCCAATCTATCACAACCCGGGCTCCTATTTACTGCTAGGTAAACAGAGGCGCGTGGAGTAAGGAAACTTTCGCCCTGCCCGTGAATCGAACCCAGGTCTCTCGCTTGCGAGGCGAGTCTCTAACCATTGAGCTACACGACTCCACATCGTATTGCAATCATATTTTTAACAGTTGATGTATTGCAATGTATTTACTTATACAACTCCAGGAATGTATGCAGGTTGCAGCGGATTAAATAAATACATTTGCTTCCCTCCCCCTCAGCCTCCTGTTCTGGACTCAGTCGTTGTCTGGGAATATCGCTCTGGTCTCCTACAGTCTGATTGACAGATTGCCCCGAACCCTTCTCACCTCCCACGTGAAAGCCAGCACCTCGGCGTTTCCGGTGGCCGAGTGTAACTGCTCGGTCGCCCGGCTTCAGCTGGATGGAAACTTCGCTGTGGACACCACGGAGGCAGAGCCTGAGCGAGTTTTTTTTACGACCCAGCATCATGAAATCTGGGCGTCTGACTTAAATGGCTGCAGATGTTGGAAGAAAATGAGTTCCCCAGAATCAACAGGTATATGTTCCCTAATAATTATTGTCGTGTGCTTGAATACACTCCCCTCCCCTCTTTCACTCTCACGCACACACCCTTATTCTCAAACACACAGACACACTCTTTCTCACATAGGCACACACATGCACTCTTTCTCTCACTCACTCACTCACTCACTCACTCACTCACTCACTCACTCACTCACACACACACTCTCAGACGCACAATTTAATGGAAACACACGCACATACACACACTCTCTCTGACACACACTCTCCTCAAGAACAAGACATCTTACAAGAATTCAGATCTGCTTTGCTTTATTTATTTCTTACGTCCCACCAGAAAATTGGGAATAAATTGAGGGAGTTTGTTACAGGAAATGATGGTTGATTGAGACAATGAGTGGAAATCTGAATGAAAATAAAACTGAATTTTGTTTTAATCGTTGGCTCGAATTACACCCTGGCCCTGAGTAGCTTTCAGGCCACTGCACACATGTAGCTAAGGGCTACTTTCACCGGCCACCAACCAATGGGAAGAAAATATCAAAACATTTCAAAATTCAGTTCTTCAAATTTTAAGATGATGGTATTAAGCTTGAAAACGTGGGAAATCTCATGTTGCAAGCATGAATCAGCATTACACTACACTGAGCTCTGAACCTGTACTTTACCTGAATGTACGATGCTACCTCGAGACCAATTACATTCTAAGTTGAGAGAGAAAATGTTTCTTAAAATGTTTTTTTTTCACAGAAATATTAAATGTTCATAAGAACTGTGTGTTTCTGTTCCCCCCCCCCCCCTCAACCCCACTCCCTTTCACTTCACTCTCTCACAGAGCTAGCTATAACTTCACTAGCTGTGGGTTCCAGAGCAATTTATTGGGTAACTCAAGACGTAGACCGTTCAAAAATCTACACGGCTGCCAAATCCTCGGGGGATATTCTGTCTGTGTATCGCGGTTTCTCGCTGACTAAGGTGGTGCCGTACGATGAGCAATCCCAGCCATACTCTGGTAAGTTGTGATCCACGTCCAGGGATTTGTAAGAGATCCCGAATCATATCTGACCAAACCTGGAACCATAAAGAATAATAACATGCAATAATCCTTACATTTCATGTCAGAAGAATGTTTTAAAGAGCTTTACGTGATGGACTGTAAAGGGAGTAACTGTGTAGGACACACTGTCAATTAAATTTACAATAAATCCTGTGAAGCCCTTTGAGGCATCTCAATGACGTGATCAGGTTCTATATCAAGGACAAGGATTCTTATTACTATTATAATCTTACGTGCTTTTGATGTCTTCTTTTTCAATTTAGATCTTCAGTGTCTAATGCCAAAGGTCTACACAAGAGCACCGCAAGTATTAAATAGATCAGATACCAGCCTGCTTCTTCACATCCCATCTGTGGAGTATGTCTCAGTGTGCTCCGACATTAGCAAGCCCACTCCCACTTACACGTTACACTTCGCTGAGCTCCAGGACAGTGAATCTGATGCCAGCTGTACCCATGGAATAAAGTGTTATAAACAGGTAGGTTGGCTGAAAAAGTTATTGTGGTCACATTTTTTCGCCCACAAAATATACAGTCAATTTAATTTTCAGTGTATTCTGTGAAGCCCTTTGAGACGTCTTGAAGATGTGATAAGGCGCTACATCAAACGCAAGAATTATTATTATTATTTATTATTTTACGGCTTGACTCTTTTCCTGGACGATTTCCTAGATTTTTGGGGGGCTAAGAGAGGTGATTAAGGAGTGTTGGAGGTAAAGGATCTAAAAGAGAGTTTAGGAGGAACTTCTTTCCGCAGAGAGTGGGTAAGAATGTGGAATGAGAAGTTGTGGTTGAGGCAAAAAGCATCAATATATTTAGAAGTAAACTCATTGATGCTTCAGCCATACTGAAGTTTGACTTGGAAAAACATGAGATGAAATATAATTGGTCAAGAAAGGGAAATTGAGATCTGGATCTGAGAATGACAATTTTTAATAAAGATTATTTTGCATTTCTCCTTTCCCCCCAGGAAGTTCAGACAAACACTGTTTGGCTGAATGAGCTGCAGCCCTACACCAGGTACCTCATGCAGGTTTCAGTGAAGACTCGCTATGGCGATGTATCAGGGAATCTAGGTCCACCTGCAGTAAACTGGACATGGTTTGGAGGTAACCAACTACTTCAACAACTTGCATTTATATTGCGTACTAAATGCGTGATATTGTCTCGGAGCACTTAACAATGATGTACTTTGACGCAGAGAAAGGGGCTGTGACCATGGTTGAAGAGGAAAGCATTCAGGTGTGATCTGAAGACAGGCTAAGAGGGGGAATAGCGAAGAGGTAGATATTGCATGAATTATAATTGAAAATATGACAGATGTAAGGGCAGACTCTTCACCGTGTTGCAAAATATAATTGCGGATCAATTGGCTACTGCAGTAGAGAGCCCTGTTATAACGGGGCTCAATAGTCTGTCAGACCTTTAGAAGTGTCAATTTCAACACCTTTGTGAAGCAAAGTATGTTTCAAACAAATTGGACCTGTTCATCTCATGTCGTCTGCTTTGGAGTATTTTTTGAACACTCTGTAGCATAGTTTACAATAATAATAAACCTTGCATTTGATACAGCACCTCGTGTTCCAAAGATGTCTCAAAGCTCTTACAGGATTTACTGTAAAGTGACGTCACCGTGTGTATTTTGTAAGCGAACGTGACAGCCGATTAGCGCACAGCAATGATTTTGGTTTGCTATTCCAGTGCCATCAGCCCCTCGACTGGTTGAAGCACTGGTTCTGTCAGACTCCAGGGTTGAGGTGTCGTGGTCTGCACCGCTGGAACCCAACGGACCTGTGGAAGAGCTCCGATACCAGGTTCAGTATCAGGGAAATAACTACTGGCCCTCACTGCCCATGCCTTCAGCCCAGCTGGCGGGCGGGCGAAGGCAGATCCAACTAGCAAATCTTCACAGTGGGACTGAGTACTGGTTCCAGGTAAGAAGCAGACACAGTTTCACAGACCCTGGAGCAGGCAGTGGTCAGAGCTGTTCAGCCCTTTAGTCTGGAGGTGGATCCCAAACCAGGTCCTGGAATAGGAAAGGACAGTATGCGGCTTCCAGCACACGAGAGATGAATTGAGTTCTGCTTTGGTACCGAACAACGTAACTTTTGTTTATACAGACTTTTGACAATACCCAAGAGCAAAGTAGAAGACAATAATATCATCAAGACAATGATGTTGAAAAAAAATCCTTGCCTTTGAAACAGCACCTTTCACATGATGAGGAATTCTCAAAGCGCTTCGCAGGATTTATTGTAAAGTGGAGTGACTGTATTTTGTAGGCACATGTGGCAATCGATTTATGCACAGCAATGTCCCATAGACAAGTGAATGAAGTGAATGATCAATTTTACACGAGGGATTGTTGGCTGGGACAAAGTGAGAGAGAAACAACAACAACAACAACAACAAGATTCCATTTATTGAGCGCCTTTCACGTCGGGAGGACGTCCCAAGGCGCTGTACAGTTGGGTCAGGACCCGAGCAGGGGGGAAATGGTCAGGGTGAGGGGAGGGAAGGGAGGGAGCGAGGAGGGGGTAGAGAGTCGAGAGGGGAGCTGAAGGCACGGTCAAAGAGAAAGGTCTTGAGACCGGCCTTGAAGGAGGAAAGGGAGGAAGCGGCGAAGGCACTGGGGGATAGAGTTCCAGAGCCTAGGGGCTGAGAGGCTGAAGGCCCGGCCACCGATGGTAGGGCGGTTGGGGCGGGGGATGTGGAGCAGACCGGAGCCAGAGGAACGGAGGGTACGGGCAGGTAGGTAGGGGGATAGTAGGTTGGAGAGCTAGGAGAGAGCAAGGCCGTGAATGGCCTTGTAGGTGAGGATGAGGATCTTGAACTTGAAACTTCCTTTTCTTAATAGAGAAAACATTGAATGTAAGCTCTTCAATGATATTTGAAAGTAGAAGCGATCCCTTAAAAACTGCACGTATGCACTTACTTTGAAGTCTTTGTTAGTTCAATAACTTGGTCCTCTTGTCCTTGACGTATCAATAATAATCCTAATAATCCTTGAGGTTGGTATAGTGCCTTTCACGTCGAGAGGAAGTCCCAAAGCGCTGTACAGGATTTATTGTGAATTGGAGTGACTGTATTTTATAGGCAAACACAGCAGCCCAATTGCGCACAACAGTTTTGTTTGGGAAAGCCTGTAAGTCACTTTGCTTAGGGTGCCTTTCCCTTTCCCAGGTGCTGAGCTTCCCGCCGGCTGGCAGAAGCTTTAGTCGGAGCGAAGCTGTTTTGCGAACAACATTTCAGGCCCCGGTTCCTCCGTCTCTTCTCTCGGTGGGGAACACCACGGTGACCGTCCTCTGGCAATCCCTAACTGACGGCAGCGTGAGAAGACAGTGGTTTGAGATTTCCCAGGTAATATGCAGATGTGCGCCACGCAAATTAATTGGATATAAAGCTTGGAGAGAGTTAATGCTGCATTCATCTCTGATTAAATCTGACTGCTGACTCTCTGCGTCCCACCAGCTCTCTAGAAATCCCTTTGCCTTGCTCATTCTTGCTGTAACTTCAAAACCCTCATTAAAAACCTCTCTTTAAGGCAACAACCTTGAGTTCTCCTTCTGGCTTGGAACTTCCTATTTCTCCGTGAAACCCTGTCAGACCCGTTGTGACAGGTGCCATGCACCTACAAGTTGTTGTATGAATATATATTGAGAACTGTTCGATGGCAATGAATGATGCAGTCTGAAACTGTACAGACCGGAAAGTCCTATGTTTGATCCATTTTCTCTTCTGGCTTTTCTGATCCCGGTCAAAACAACAGTGAGGATGTCAAATAATAATAATATTATTATGTTTACTATAATGCCTTTCATCGGGGGGACCTGTCAAAGCACCTCACAGGATATATTGCAAAATGGAGTGACTGTTTTTTTGCATGTGGGTGAACGCGGCAGCCAGTTTTTGCCCAGTGATGTAACCAACATGTGACAAAATACGTTCCATTTCACTTGGTTCTAATTGTAAGGCTACGTTTTGCACACATCGTTCTTTGTTCTTGAACGGCTGCACTGATCGATTTGGTCCGTTCGCTTCTCTTTACCCAGGACACGAACAGGGAAACGTGGAAGGAGGTGTCAGCAAATTGCTCCGATCACGGAAATGCCAGCTACCTTATCCCGGGCCTTCATCCGTCCAGGACGTACTTCCTGAGAGCAGCAGTCACTTACGTAACAAACACGTCGAGTGTATCCACTGCCCTGGTGCTTGGGACTCAAGGTAAGGGCTGCACCATGAGCTTGGTATTGAGTGTTCTTGTCTGAAATTGAGGTTTGTGGGGCATCTTTTTGTTTTGAAAGCCTACGTTTGTAATATGTATGGACAGTCCGGTCTTCTACACCAGTTTACTTGCATTATTTTTCACTTGCAGCAAAGTTTGTGTGAAATATGAAATACAGCACATCTCAGAAAGGTCTTATCAGTTAGGACCATACATTTAGCAGTAAGTAAAAACCCGATTGTTAGTCGATTGGCAGATCTCTATTCCTGGGGTAATAATTCCTTTAAGAAAAAAAATTGGTCACTCAATCCACAACTGTTTGTGGGATACTGCTGTGTCCAGTTGGCTGCTATGTTTTGCCCACAAAATATACAGTCAATTCACTTTTCAGGATATTCTGTGAAGCGCTTTGAGGCATCTCAAAGACATGGCGCTATATCAAATACAAGGATTATTATTTATTTAATATGACTTATGCAAAGTATGAGTTATGTCAAACCTACACCGACTATAAACTCTTGAATGGGACTTGGGCAGATGTACAACTTAGGTGTTTGTACGATATGTACAGATCAGACCTATGCGAGTCCTTTTATGGAAAAATAGCAAAGGATAATTATCAATGAGCAAAGCAAATAAACTTGGCAAGCAGAAATACCTTTACTGCTGTATGGCTTTACCTGGAGTTTGTGAACACGCATTTATATGTCCAGCACTTGGAATCCACTTTGATTGGCCTGCAGAGAGGAAAGCAGTTGCTTCTTAAACTCCGCACCTCCAATTGGTGGAACCATCGCTCAATGGGAAGGGATGTGTGCCCGAGCTGCAGATAGAAAGACGGTGGCAATTCTCTCACCTATTTCATGCTGAGATGCATTGCCCACTGGGAAGCTCGGAGGGAGTTCCTTCTACCTACCATCCACCTAGTGAGGGATTAAACCCGTGGTTGTCGAATGTCCCACGACCAACTAGTGACTGTCCTCCTTGTGGTGGAGGTAAGCGGAATCTCCTTGGAGCTGAACTGGCTCCAGAGTGACATGCCTGGCAGTGGAATGTCGGAATCGAGCCGGCCCTCTGCGGCAGCTTCACTAGTCCAGTGGGTCCGCAGTATTCCAGGGCCTGGCTGATGACAGCACAACCAGCCAGGCTCATCAGCAGGACCTGGTAAGGCAGACCAGGCACTGGGGGCAAACAACAACAACAAGCTTTCATTTATAGAGCGCCTTTCACGTCGGGAGGACGTCCCAAGGCGCTGGACAGTTGGGTCGGGGCCCGAGCAGGGGGGATCATAGTCATCCCACTCAGCGGCTGTCAATCCTGCAAGTGAAAACCCTAAAGGGTAGGGTGGTCCTAGCTGGACAAGCAGCGGGAAAACTTGCCAGACAGCAATATCAATGGAAAGCTATGCGGTTTTAGCTGGTTCGACTCCAGCAATACCCCAACACACACTCTGGGGTCCCCAAGCCTTAGCTCTTGCCAACCTGTGCCTAATACTTCTGGAATTAGGTAAGCAGGATGCGTCTCTCCAGGGAGAGAGTCCGCATTCCATTCTATCTCTGGGATTTCCGTGTTTAGGTGGGATGCAGGGAAATCTCAGCTTGGTTTGGATGCTCTTAAGCATGGTGAAGCGTTTCCACATGTACAGACACCCAGTTGACCTTAGAAAAAAGGAGAAGCCCCTGCAACAAAGACCATATGGCCCATCATGTGCACTAGGCTGCCTCCTGTGGTAGCTATTGCATAGGTACATGATGTCATGACTTTCCCTTCCAATTTCCCTCTATCTCTGTGGAGAAGTCTCTTAAGATCTACACCTATGTGCTGATGTACCTGAGATGCATGCAGAGTGTGAGAGATGGGAGGGACATAAACATAAACATTGCTCCAGTATTCAGTGTCATTGTGACACCTTTGGAATTGTGTCGCTCCTCATTTCTGTTGGACCAAAAGTCCTAAATCCCTCCCTGGAGATGGTGCTATTGGACCACAGTGATAATAATAATCTTTGCATTTGATATAGCGCCTTATCACGTCTTCAAGACTTCTCCAAGCTCTTCACAGAATGAAGAGAATTGACTATATGTTTTGCGGGCGAAACGCGGTTGCCAATTGCGCTCAGCCGTGTCTCACAAACAGTCGGGGATTGAGTGACCAAATTATTATTTAATTATTACCTCCAGAAAAGCAATCCACCAATCGACTAACAAGCAGGTTGCTACTTACTGCTAGGTAAACAGAGGCATGTGGAGTAAGGAAACTTGCCCAACGTTTTACCCTGCATGGGAATCGAACACAGGGCCTCTCACTTGTGAGATGAGTGCTCTAATCACTGAGCTACATGATTCCTGTAGCTTAGTGATTAGAGGTATGCAAGTAACATGCTTGCAAAACCTGGTTATTTAAATGCAAAACAGGGTAAGTTACCTGCACAACGTAGATAATTACCTACAAAGCATGGTGTTAATGCCTTACAAAACTTTATTAATATTTTTACTGCCTGCATAACCTGGTTAACTTGACTTTTTAACTGCAAATCCTGGATAATGTTATACTTTTGAACTAATCAATAGTTTTGGTACCTTAACGACGGGTTTCCTGAAAAGCAGCATTGTGAATTGTCTGTGCTGAGCATTGCACATTATGTCTCATTATGCATTTTTCTTCTTCTTTCACGTCTGGCTGTTTTTTATATTGAACAGAAACAAAAACCACTCTGCTTCACCTCCTCTGCCTTACACGCCCCACCATTGGCGGGCGGGCCTTCAGGCTCTCTGGAACTTCATCCCCATCTCCATCTGCCTCGCTCCTTCCCTTTCCTCCTTCAAGACCCGTCTCAAGACCCTCTGCTTTGACCATGCCTTCGCTCACCCTCCTATCCCTACCCTCCCTGCCCTCTACCCCTTCAGATCCCAACCACCAGTGCAGATCCTGACGGTCCAGCGCCTCGGGAAGTCCTCCTTACTTAGTGAAATGCACTATACAAATGTAATTGTTGGTTGCTGTTGTTGTTGTTGTTGTGGTATCTGACTGAACTTTCCTTCTTTGCAGCCGGAAAACCAGGAAGACCAGGGACACCCAATACCTTTCAGGACGTCATCAGCTGGGCCAAAGCGGAGGACAATGGGAGCAATATTACACATTACATTTTGCAGGCCAGGTGCGTTTGCGACATTAAAATTCACTGCAGTGGGGAAACATTTAACAATAACAAGACGTACAAATGAAAATTAAACTGATTTCTTGATCACAAAATACAATCAATCCACTTTACAGTATACTCTGTGAAGAGCTTTGAGATGTCTCAACAGCGTGATAAGGGACTACATCAAATGCAAGGATTATTATCATTATTATTTGAGACATCCTCCGAATATGAAAGACACTCTCGAAATCTACATTATATTGTACTCTGTTGACTCTTGACTGTTCACCGCCTGTGGAAGAAAGAAATTTCCGCCAACCTACAGGTGGGGGAAATGAGCTGAACATCTTCAGGATAGGAAGGAAACAATAGGAGAGAAAACGAACGAGGGATAAAATCGATCGATCTGTGTTCTGGCTCCTCCTTCCTCCATTCCCAGTGTAACTTGATTAGCGGATTGCTTTTCGGGGGTAATAATCCCTCCCAATTTTTTTTAATAATAATAATCCAGTTACTCAATCCACGATTGTTTGTGGGACACTGCTGTGCGCAATTGGCTGCCGTGTTTTGCCCACAAAATATGAGGTCAATTCACTTTACACTATATCCTGTGAAGCGCTTTGAGACGTTTCAAAGGCGTGATAAGGCGCTGTATCAAATGCAAATATTATTAAGAATTGCAGAAAAGGATTTTGTTATGTTTTGTAAAGTTTAAAAATGCTGTTTCTACAGAAATTCGCAGAACGACACCGAGCTCGTGAGGTTGAACAGTTCAGATGAATGGATCACTCTCTATCAGGGCCCCTGCAACAGTACCATCTGCACCTGGCGTAACCAGCACTTCAGTGGGTTTTACCACATGAGGGTTGTGGCAGTCAATCGCATTGGCACAGGACAGTTCAGCGACATCAGCGGGGAAATTGTCATGAAACTTTACGGTGAGGAATCCTACGTCAGTGGGGCAAAGAGATACACACGGGATTCCCTGAAGGAGATGGATTTTATATTGAGTGACACATTATATGTTGCGGTTTTCACGACCAGGGGTTTTTAATCGTTTTGGGCAGGAGTAAGGAAGAAGTAACCACAACAATTTGACATTTATCATAATAGCTTTCATGTCAGGAGAACTCGCAGCCTTCTGACTGAGCCAGGCTAACATTTACAAATGACACCTGCTTGCTTCAGTAGTCGAATGCTTTGTATTGAGAGCACAATAGTCTCCCACGTCTTTGTGTTCTACTTTCCAAACGTGCAACTCTGCAAAATCCCGTTTGAATCCTTATAGTGTAGAGTAGATATTCACCCACAATATAAGTGCAATATAAGATTGCAAGAATACTATTACAACAACAACAACAAATTACCCTTGCATAGTTCCTTTTGGATCGGGAGGATAGCCCAAGGTGCTAGACAGTCAAGGATTTGCACCTGAGCTAGGGATTTTACATTATTATTATGGTTATTATAGTTCAGTTCCAGAAGATTTTTCCAATTAAAAGCTGGGCTGTTTGCAGGAATGAGAGGGAAAAGATAATTTTTGCCTGCCTTTTGCAGGCAGAGTTAAACGTCCTGATCCACAAACAAATTATTCATAAAATTGCCTGAAAAGTATGTATTGTTTTCTTATAAAATACACTATCACTCTTGGTGTCATGAGTAAATAATAATAATCCTTGCATTTGATTTAGTGCAACATCATGTCATTGAGATGTCTCAGCGCACTTCACAGGATACACTGTAAATGTGGTTTTGAGAAGACATAATGGAAACTAACCAAAAATATTTTATCAGAACCAAGTGAAAGCCAAGCCCTGCTGGTGCTCGGAACTGTCTGTGTGACAATTATATTCGCCGTTTGCTGCGTTTTCACAGCAGTTTATGGTAAGTACAAAAGATAATCTTTTTAAACCAAAGGAAATGCTATAAGCCGAAATGCAACACTCTAGATACAGTCGTAAAGATTTCTGAAAACTGAATTCATTTAATAATCCTCCTTACATTTGAAGTAGTGTCTTATCAAGTTTCAAGGCTCTTTACAATTTATTGCAAAGCACAAGGACTGTAGATATTTTGTAGGTAAACACAGCAACCAAATTGTGCACAGCAAAGTCCCACAAACAGCCATCAAGTAAATTAGGGATTTTATCTGAGGAATTGTTGGCAGGCGAAATGGGAGAAATTCCCCTTTCTTTTCGAATAGTGCCAAGGGATTTTTAATGTCCACCTGAACATAAAGATGGGACTTCGGTTTAACGTCTCATCCAAAAGATGGCACCTCTGACAATGCAGTGTCCCCCAGTGTTGCCTGGATTGTGGGTTCATAGACCAGTTATGGGGCTCTAACCCATAACCTTCCTAGACAAGAGTGCTACCGTCTGAGCCAGGCTGACAACTTTAACATTTTTTAAATTTCTCCTTTGCGTTTTTAATCTGCTGTTTTGCAATCCACCATTTTTGTATGGTCTACCACCAGCTCAGTACACCAAACGATCCAAGCAGAAAGGGGACATAACCACTCTTCAGGTGAACTACAATCCAGACCTGGAACTGGCACTCATCAGAGATATGAATGCTTCTGTAATTCAGACAAACATCTGGTACACCTCGAGGTACAATACAATCCCTTCTTCCTTCTGGTGAACATTCACCACATTCCCATCTTCCAAGGGGACAAATAGGACGTGGCCGATTTTGCAGCTTTAAGCATGGTCTGTCCTTCCTCCAACCCGTCCCCCCTATCCGCCCCATTAAATAATTCATTAGTAAGAAACAAATTTAATGTGGTTTTTTCATGGGAAGGAACTTCAGTTGAAGAACATCCACCTGAGGAACGAGTCCTATTATTAATGTCTCATCTGAAGGACGACACCTCCGACAATGCAGCTCAATCACACCACTGCACTGGATCATCAGCCTGGACTGCATGAGTTCAAAGTCCTGACATGGGACATGAACCCATAACCTGTTGATTCAGAAGTGAGAGTGCTACCGACTGAGCCAGACTGACACTCTCTGTTCCTTCTAGTGTTCGAGGTGGATGAGCTCAGGATGGAGTGAAGTACCCCTTCCTTATAATAATAATAATCCTTGTATTTGATGTAGTGCCTTATCACGCCTTCGAGACGTCTCAAAGCGCTTCACAGAATATACTGTAAATTGTATATTATGTGGGCAAAATGAGGCAGCCAATTGCGCACAGCAGTGTCCCACAAACAGTCGTGGATTGAGTGACTAATTTATCTGAACCCTCCTTGTGAATGATTCGTTGTTTGTTTGTTTTATTTGTTAAAATAAAAAGTACTTGTGAAAAATAAATGCACATGAATTATTTTAAAAATAAATCAGAAAGGCATTAAATATCTTGTTAAAATAGTTTATCTTGAAAGTGACTTGATGCAGATTTGTTTGGGCAATTGAAACAGTTTGGTTTTATTCTTCCAGTTGCCTGCCCACACAGCTGGAGCATGAGTCTCTTCCACTGTTTCCAAGAGAGAAACTCACATTGCTGAACTTCCTCGGCAGTGGAGCTTTTGGTGAAGTGTTTGAAGGAAAAGCTGAAGAGATCCTGGGAGCTGGTAGTGGAGATGTGAAAGTAGCTGTAAAAGTAAGTGTAGTGCTCCGAGATTTTATCCCATGTGAAAGGATGCTGTACAGTACTCCAGAAGCCAACAATTCTAGTGTCGTGGACACTATATGTTGAAACCAACTTTATTTCTCTTTTAAAGAATGAAATGTGAATGTAGCGTTGGCAAGGAATTCCTATATCTGTGACTGCTTGAGCTGTGATCTTTATTCATAGTAACTCTTGCATTTCATATCATGCTTTTCATGTTGGGAAGATGTTCCAAAGTGCTTCACGGGATTTACTGTAAAGTGTAGTGACTAATTGGTGGGCCAATGCGGCAGCCAATTTTGCGCAAAGCAATGTCCCACAAACAGTCATAAAGTGAATGGGTAATATTTATTTTATTTGGGGATAATGAGGGCCTTGTTCACAGGGAGAAACTCCCTTCACTTTTCAAATAGTGCCATGGGATCTTTATCCTCCACCTGAACAGGCAGATGGACCTCGGTTTAGTCTCTCTTATCTGAAGGTCGGCACTTCTGACAATGCAGCACACCCTCGGCACTGCATTGGAGTGTCAACCTAGATTATGCAAGTTCAAAGTACTGACGTGGGGCCAAACTCCACAACCTTTTGACTTAGAACCTTTGCTAAGATTAAGATGACGAAAGTAGATTTTGTCAGACATGGAAAAGGATAATCTACTCATGTTGACTATTTCCTCAACAGACACTGAGAAAGGGGGCAACGGATAACGAAAAATCAGAATTCCTCAAGGAAGCCTATTTAATGAGGTAAGCCATCTTTAAGTTGCATGATAGACGATGGTGCTTTTCTCGCTTTGGAGGGGATAAGGATGTTGGATGATAATATTTCTTGCATTTGCTATAATGCCTATTCATGTCAAACTGTCTCAAAGCACTTCACATAGTTCTTTGTAAAGTGCAGTAACTGCATTTGTAGATGAATCCATAGCCAATTTGCACACAGACAGCCGTAAAGTAATGACCAATTTTATCGGGGGTATTATTGGCCAGGACAACAGGAGAAATGCATCTTTTCCAATAGCGCTATGAGAAATTTAACTCCCACCTGAATAGATAGACAGAACCTCGATTGGACATCCCATGTTAAACATCTCGGCCAAGACTATGAGCTCAAAGGCCTGAATGGATCTTGAACCCATAGCCTTCACGACTCAGGAGAGAGTGCAATCAAATGAACTAGGCCGACAGTGAAACGTAGTGGAGAATTTCACAATTTATCTTTTGACAGGCTACATTGTACCCTTACTGACTGACTGACCTACATAGATTTTATTTCATACTTGTCAAAATTCTAATTTCTACGGTGCATTTAAGTTACTGTATGAGTTTCACTGCAGAGTTTTTTTTCACTACTACAGTAAAATTGGACAGAGGGTTTTGTTTTGAAGTTCAAATAATACAGAATTCTTTTGTCGTCTACTTTTTATAGTCTTGAGGATAAATAAACAGCTGTTGAGTTTTAACTAACATGATGCAGAACGTATGAAGTGAAGTTATATTAGATTTCACAGTCAAAACCTTCCAGGAGCCAAAGAGTCCAGCAACCGCTGAGAAAAGAATTGTGACATTTTGAAATGGTATCGTATTAAAATGCAATAAGTCATCTGAAGTTTGGTATTCGACATCCAATATTTGTTGCAAGAACTTCTAAATATGCTTTATGATCCTTTTGGATCCTATAAGAATCTTCCATACAGTCTTTCAGAACACAACTTATACATCTTGAATCATTCAGTCAATTCGCTTTACAGTTTATTCTGTTAAGCTCTTTGAGACTTCTCAACGACGTGATAAGGCGCTATGTCGAATGCAAGGATTTACTGTGAAGTGCAGTGAATGTATAATTGTCGGGGAATGTGGCAGTCGATTTGCACACAGCAATGTCCCACCAACAGGCACAAAGTAAATGATCAATTTTAATCGGGAGGTTGTTGACCAGGAGGCATGTGGTGCATAATCCTCACTTAATTGTGTGGAATTCACAGTAGCAATTCTCAGTCAAGCAAATAATATCTTTTAGTTGAGTATTGGTAGCAATAATGATTGAGTTACTGTTCCACTGTATAAGATACGGTTCATGATCTTAGAACGGAGCTATATAATGTTAGGGTGAGACCGCACCTCAGAGTACAACATGCAATCCTTGTCACTGTGGCACAGGGGTGCCCTAGACGAAGTACAGAGGAGAGGAACGAGGATGATCCTCCCACGTTAGAGTAATGAGCTACGAGCAATGATTAGACATGCTAGGGCGCTTCAGTCTTGAAGGACGGTGTCTCAGATAGGATCTTATTATAGAGGTGTATAGAATTTGAAGTAGGATTGAAAAAGTAAGGCCAGAACAATGCTTCACGAAGCATCAAGACAGTAGAACAAGCGGACATTTTAAGGTTTAGAATTGCAAGGGCAATTTCAGGACAGAAACTGAAAGATTTTCTTTACTCAGAGGGTAATTAATGATTGAAACGGGTTACCAGGAAAGGTGGTTAAAACAGGACATTGGACTCGTGTTAAAAAGCAGCTTGATGCTATGATGGGGGACAGTTGTGGAGGTGGGCATTTAGGAAGCATGAGATCAGCTGGGATTAAGAACCTTCTTCATCAAACCAATCTTGGGAAAGAACCTAAAATTACATGAGTAATAATAACTAAAATGCTTACTTTAGAGTTGTGTAACTCAGTGGTTAGAGCACTTGCCTCGCAAGCGAGAGACCTGGGTTCGATTCCCGGCAAGGCGAATTGGCAATTGGCTGCTATACTTTACAGTATATTCTGTGAAGCGCTTTGAGACGTCTCAAAGACGTGATAAGGCGCTATATCAAATTATTATAATTATTATTACTCCGACTCATGCACTTTGTTCAAATTGCTCTTTTCATTGGTTGGACTTTCATTGGTGAATGCTTGGAAATCTGACGTGATGTTTTGTTTTCCTTTGCAGCCATTTTGATCATGCTCACATTATAAAGCTGCTGGGTGTGTGCCTGCAGAATGAGCCACAGTTCCTATTGCTGGAACTCATGGAGGGGAAAGACCTGCTCAGTTACCTGCGAGGAGCTCGAGGGTCACTGGTAGGGTCAGATAGAAAATATCGATAGCTGAATTTTTTTCATTTCCTTTTTTTTCTTCAAATTTGGATTTTTTGTCTTTATAATTTTTTAAAACAAAATTTTAAAAAAGCTCAGTCTGCAATGATGGTTTGCACCTTGTTAAATCAGTTTCAGATTTTTTTGCAAAGAAAACTTTTCAAATGAAATTGCTGAATCCATTTTTTCAATCCTATAATTGTAATAATAATAATAATAATCCTTACATTTGATCTGGTGCCTTTCACAGCGAGAGGATGTCTCAAAGTGCTTCACAAGATTTACTGTGAAGTGCATCGGCTGCTTATTTTCTAGGCAAACACTACAGTCATTTTGCACACAGCGACTTTCCCACAAACAAGCATGAAGTGAATGAGCAATTTTATCAGGGGTGGTTGGCTAAGACACAAGGATAAACGCCTGCTAATATATCCTCCTGATGTGAAAATCACTATAACAAGTGCAAGGATCAAAAGCTCTGCACCACCTTTTCATTATTGGTATCGTAGGGTAGTGACTGCCGTGCAATAGTGTGTGGCTAGCTCCAGCTGTGTAGCTGTGTCAGAGGAAAAGAGAGGTATTATATTAAAGACCAAAGATATACATTGATACTAATCCTTACATTTGATATGGTGCTATTCATGCTGGGAGGACCTCCCAAAGCGCTTCACAGGATATTCTGTAAATGTAATTGCATGTTTTGTGAGGAAATGTGGCAGCCAGTTTTCGCACAACAATGTCCCGTAAACAGCCATGAAGTGAAGGACCAAGCGTGGTTTACTCATTGACTGAAAATACGAATTGTCGAATAAGAGTCCCCTAATCCTCAGTGCATTGCTTGGCCAGTAATCAGTAACAGCTGCCGTATTTCAGTTCAGTTAACATAGCTCCCAAAACACGCACAGTCATAGCACTTTACATTACAACCTGGCAAGTGCTTTGAGATAGCTCAACGATGTAATAAAGGCCCTATATCATATATTGTAATATTTATTATTGTGATACAGTTACGATCACAATAGGGTTCCAGATCTGAAAGATACCTGATATCTGTTCAAACGTTGTTGCTGACGTTCTTGCAGTTTGTATTTTCCGTTACAGGTTTCTTAGAAGCAGTGGCGAGTGCCTTGAGGTTGACTGTAAATCCATGGCAGTTTGTGGAACACTGCTGTGGGCAATTGACTGTTGCGTTTCACCCACGAAATACACAGTCACAACACTTTACAGTATGTTCTGTGAAGTACCTTGAGACGTCTCAGCGATTGATAAGGCGCTATATCAAATGCAAGGATTATTATTATTGTTATAAAATGTCTTATCGTTTTTCTTTGTCAGATGCATCATCCCTTGCTCCATGCAGGTGACCTGATCGATGTTTGTCTGGACATCGCAAAAGGCTGCAGCTATCTGGAGAAAATGCATTTTGTGCACAGGTAAAGTGGAAAGATTGGTTTTACGTTTCAGATTTTTAATTTTTGTGCTTTGCAAATGCAGTCTGAGGAGACTTGATGGGTAATATTGAATGCACAGTAGAATTAATTGGCTGGATGGAGGCAATTGTGAGTATTTTGAACGAATAACAACTTGTATTTATATAGCACCCTTCACGCAGGACAGCATCTCGGAGTGCTTAACTGTGACGGAGCCTGATGCCGAGCCGGGGGGTGGGGGGAGGTCTTCAGTCATGATCTAAAAGAGCGGAAGGAGGGGGCAAGGCGGAGGGATTGAGGGAGAGAGTTCCAAAGTGGAGGGGACGAAGGATGAGCAGGAGGCCAGAGCCAAGCGGCGGAAGCGTGTAGTGGAGTGGGGAGAAAGCAGGTCAGAAAGACAGGGAGGTGCCAAGGCGTGAAGGGATTTGAAAACGAATAACAACAACTTGCATTATATGAATGTCCTTTGAATGTAAGTGTTTCTCTTGAAGCCTGTGCAATTAGAGTGAAGACTGCTTGGCAAGAACCATCCTTTTTTATATGTGTATTATACATTGGCATCATCCTCCAGACCTAGTGTCTGACACGTGCGGAAACTCATCAAGTTTAAAAGTATCCAAACTAGACTACCTCATATGTAAACCATCTTCGCATGGAAATTTCTCTGTGTCTGGAATGGAATGTGCTCTCTCTCCCTGGAGAGAGGCACTCTCCAGACACACTAAGAAGATTTTCAACACTGATCAACCTTGCTCTTTTTAGCGTGTTTAAGACGGAAGCTATGGTCGAAGCAGAAAACATCAATGCACTGAAGAAGAAACTTATTAATCCTTACATTTGATATTGATATTGCGCCTTTCACATTCAAAGCTCTCCGCAGGATGTATGGTATGTATGTTGTAGGTGAAATGTGGCAGCTAATTTTTTTGGGGACGTACAAACGTGTGTTCCAGGTAACTCCTTCCAGCAGCTGTTACCCCAAGCCCTCAGTATTTCCTCATCAACAACAACAACACAACAACAAGATTCCATTTATAGAGCACCTTTCACGTCGGGAGGACGTCCCATCAGCTATCTACTGGGCATCTGCCTTCAGCCTGGGGGGCAGACCTTTACAGGACAGCGTGTGATGTGCTAGCCACCTTGATGTTCTTGAGATCCAATCCATTGAGGGATGAAGATTCATGTGGAATATAAACATCAGCACAGACTAGTTGGGTTGAATTGGCCTGTTTTTATGCTGTAACATTCTGTGGAACTGTTGCTCTGTGCTCAGTAATAACTTTAACTGTGTGAGTTCAACATTTGTTTCAGGGATCTAGCTGCCAGAAACTGCTTAGTTTCTACGAAGGAATACAACAACTCCAACCGTATGGTGAAAATAGGGGACTTTGGTCTCGCCAGAGACATCTACAAGAACGACTACTACAGGAAGGAAGGGGAAGGGCTCCTCCCTGTCCGATGGATGGCACCCGAGAGTTTGATCGATGGCTTGTTCACAAATCAGTCCGATGTGTGGTAAGCAAGAGTACTTTTTCAGAGACCGTTTACTTCAATTAAACATAAAGTTAACTTACTAGTAAATGCATAAATCCTTTACCTCAATGGGACATTGACAGTCATTTAACAACTGCCATGTAACTACAAGATCTTAGATTATCATACATTTTGTTTAATTTGCACAAAATATCACTTTTTCTGTTAAATTATGCTTTTGAATTTTTTAAAAAAAATCAAGTTCAGCAAACAATGTTTCAAAATGTCCTTAACCAGAGTTGTGCAGAATTCAACAACAACAACTTGTATTTACGTAGCTTCCTTCACGCAGAGTAGGGTCTCAGAGATCTTAACAGTTGCATAGTTTGACCCTCAGCCAGGGAGAAAGGGGCAGTGGCACTTAGGCAGGGTCGAAGAGGATATTCACATTTCTTAAATTGAGGGAGCAGAGTGGGGGAAAAATTGCAAGTTAAGTGTTACAATTCAATTACATATTTCAAACGTTATATCACCAAACAGTGATATCAGCCATTTATTAGTTAATTTTAATGCAATTGTAATGGGGTCAGAAGCTGCACTGTCACTAAATGCCTGCAGTTGATGCTGCAGAGCTATCATAGCAGTGAGCATGATTTCATAGTTCCCTAAATTCTTTTCATGCATTGGAGAATTGTCAGGGTATTAGACATCTTGTGGTCTATAGCATCGGAACAGTAAAGTAAGCCCAGAGCGATACTTTCTGATGCACCGAGACAGCAGAACAAGAGGACTCCGGTTTAGAGTTGTGAAAGGGCAATTTTGGGGACAGGCACCAAGAAGTATTTCTTTACCAAAGGGGTAATTAACAATTACAGTGGGATCGTGAGAATGGTAGTTGAGGCCAGGACACTAGACTCATTAAAAAAAAATCAGCTTGATGGTGTGATGCTCTGAGATGCCATCATGTGGGAATGATGTTATCAAAATGCATGTTGTTGTTGATAATAATAATAATAATCCTTGCATTTGATATAGGCCTGATCACATTTTCGAGACATCTCAAAGCGCTTCACAGAATATACTGTAAAGTGAACTGACTGTAATATTTTGTGGGTGAACCCGGCAGCCGATTGCGCACAGCAGTGTCCCACGATCAGTCGTGGATTGAAGTGACCAATTTATTATTGTTATCATTTTTTTTGATGATAATGATGAGGAAGAGGATCTGAACAGCCATTTTGCGACCAGGGCAAACTAAACAGAAGTTACAATAGTAACAGGACGCTGCCTGTCAGGTTTGAGGCTGAACTGTGCAGAGCGCTTGCACATTGAGAACGATTGTAAGAGAATTATGAATTCTTTGAGAGGCAAGCATATTTTGATAGCTAACTGGGTATTTCAGTTGCAACTGCTCCTGTTTAAAACTCTAATAATAATAATAATAATTGTTGCATTTGATATACTGCCTTATCATATCTTCAAGACGTCTCAAAGTGCTTCACAGTGAATTGCTAAAGTGAATTAACTGTATATTTTGTGGACGAAACGCAATAGACAATTGTGCACAGCAGTGTCCCACAAACAGTCGTGGATTGAGTGACCAAATTATTATTTTATTTTTGAAGGGATTATTACACCTGGAAAAGCGATCCACCAATCGACTAACAACCGGGTTCCTACTTACTGCTGGGTAAACAGGAGTGTGGAGTAAGGAAACTTGCCCAACATTTTGCCCTGCCCGGGAATCAAACCCAGGTCCTCTCGCTTGCGAGGCGAGTGCTACAGGAGCTATAAAATCCTGCACAGCGGGATCCCGCACAGCGGGATTTTACCAGCAAGATTCCAAACCCGAATGCTCGATGGTCGACTGGTCATTCATCAGCTTAATGTCTAGGTTGCTGGATCTTAGCTTGAAAATGTGTTTCCGTTTGGTTAATAACCCACAGAATAATCTTTGAGTTGTTCAGATGGAGGGACGGAGGCAGGGTAGGGGGTTAAAAGAAAAAGGAAGCAAGTCTTTTGGACAATTTGCACACATAGCGGGACTGCTGTTCACTGAAAAGATCAGCTCATTAATCAAGAACTGTGGGCATAACATTTTCATTCATTCCAAAGTTACGGTTTGACAGGGTTAAATATTTACTCAGTTGCAGCGGGAAAGTGAAAGTAACTCCCGTAAAAGTAGTAACGTGGTCCGGATCCGATGCTCACAGGGCTCTGCTTTGTGTTGCTCGCCTTTTTCCAGGTCCTTTGGCATTTTGATGTGGGAAGTGATGACATTGGGCCAGCAGCCCTACCCCGCCCGCACCAACCTCGAAGTGCTGCACTTTGTCAGGACAGGAGGGAGGCTGGAGAGACCCCACAGTTGCCCAGATGACGTGTAAGTAGCCCACACCTCACTCAATCAGAGCTATGGTACGACTCCTGTTGCAAGGTATTACAATAAAACTCAGTCACGTCAGTCACATCAGTTGGGACCGTGACATTTACTATGACTTGCTCAAAGTCCGTGTTACCGGCAAACGTGTAATAAATCGTGACTCCGATTTAATCAATAATCTACATTGCGCGGGCACAACTCAACGCAGTTGGTAAGTGTGCAGGCGGCTGTACTGACTCGCAGGAAGTGGAGCTTTGACCCGTTGCCCCGTGCATACTTCTTGCAAAGCATTGAATTGCGGGAAAACAAAGTTCTAAGTTCTTCTGCGCACTCGGTGACGGGTCGAGGATGAGTTTCCCGCTATTCATTGCAGACGGTAAGTGCGGGAGTAATGGCGGGTAGAGGAGCTGAGTTACGAGTTAGGGGATGATTAATCCAGCCTGCCCGCCGCTCTATCGGAGCCCAGCTCATTTCAAAATGTGCCCGACTTGCTTTAACATGCGTCCACCATGCCTCCAATCCTGCTGACCCGACTTTCCAGGGTGACGACGAATTAGGAAGGCCCAATGCCGGGATTTCGAGGAAACCTTGTATAAGATTATAAATGGAATTGAAATGTACCGAGACAGCAGAACGAGACGACATGAGGTCGGGGGCTGCAAAGGGTCATTTCAGGAGAGACACTTAGAGGTATCTCACTACTCAGAGGGTTACATTAACGACTGGAACAAGTTTACCAGAACAGGTTGTTGAGGCCAAGACACTGGACTGATTTTTTAAAAAAAATACACAGCTTGAGGGTGTGATGGGAGGATGGCAGGGTGGGTCTTCAGAAAGGATCAGATCAGCGGTCCCTTTTTCCTGTTGGGTCCTTCTTGATTAGATAGTTTTCTTTTAGGAGATAACATTATGGGATATAGTACATAGGTAGTTCGGGACATGTGCATGCGACCCCCAGGAAGGTGGAAGGCGAACTAGATGGAGCTTGGTATTGTTTTTCATCTAGCTTTTCTTACGTGATGACCCAAAGAGATTTTGTGATCTTTGGAGAGGATGCCCGTGAGGTGTTTGTGTTAGTTTGGCCAGATTTTGAATGCTCTTTACATGTTAGCCACCGGAGGTCACTCAAACTGTGTTTAGGTGAAGGGGGTGACAGTAAGTCAAATTCACTGTTGGGTTTACTTTACAATCTCATAAATTCTAAGACAACAGCAGTTGTTGTGCTATTTTTAAATTCAGAAACGCACAATTAAAACTAAACAGCTTTTTTTTTGCTGATTGATTGTTACAGAGACTGGAAATTGCACGATGCACAAGTTAATGAGAATACCAAGCACAGAATTGCTTATATTATTAATAACAATAATAATAATTGTAGTACTTGATGTAGTATCTTATCAGTCTTATGAGTTTTCTCGTAGAGCTTCACTTAATGTAAAGTGTGGTGACTGTACATTTTGTAGGCAAACATGGCAGCCAATTTGCACAGAGCAATATGCTACAAACAGCCATAAAGTGAATGGCTGATTTTTTAGTTGGGGGTTTGTTGGCCAGGACACTGAGAGGAACTCCCTTCACTTTACGAATAGTGCCATGGGATCATTATTAACCACCTGAACAGGCAGATGGAACCTCAAATTAATATCTCATCCGAAGGACGGCACCTCCGACAATGTGGCTTTCCCCGCCCCAGCTTTGCACTGCAGTATCAATCTAGACTGAGCTCCAAGTCACAAAGTGGGTCTTAAATCTTCTGACTCAGAGACAGCAGTTCAAGCAAAGTGAGCCAGGCTGACCCGCTTTTCCTGCTTTCAACCCCAGAACTGTGAGAATTACTGGAATGAACAGCTGCTGGAATTTTAATGCGAGCACGGTGCTAGTACATAGCTGTAAGCTGGAAATTCTCCTGAGAACCAACATTTTATTGCGGGGTGGGGCGAAGGGGAGGAGAGGGGGGAACTCGAGAAAATAAAATGTAATGTTTACCTAAGTGTCAGCCGGGCTCAGTTGCCCCTAAGTCTGATGCTTGTGGTTTTCAGCCCCTTGTCAGGACTTTGTGTAATGAATAAACTAACGAGCAATGAAAAGAACACCAGGAAATGCTGCATTTCCCAAGCATTTCTCGTTAGTTACATAACTAAAGGCTCCTGTAATTCCGTCCACACGTGTGCATTTGCACATGGTTAGCACAACCTGCAAATTGGCCGTCATTAACTGTAATCCCGACAGAGCTGCTACAGGATGTCAAAAAAGCACGGAAATAAACATTAATTAACTTCTGCCTTAGTGGGACCGCATTCACATGGTTCGAGTCCTACTTAACAATACATCTCGGCAAATGGTTTTTCTTTCCGCCCCCGGCCTGTCTCTCTTGTGGGCTACCTCAAGGCTCCATCCTTGGCCCCCTTCTTTTCCTCATATACATGGTCCCTTTCAGCAATGTCATTTGCAGACGTAGGGTTAATTTCCAGATGTATGCGGATGACACCCAAATCTACTTCTCCCTCATCACGTCGGGAGGACCCCCAAAGCACTGGACAGTCAATGTTTTAGATCTGACTTGGGGGGGCCGGGATCGGGGAGGGTGGAGGGCAGTTGAGAAAGGAAGGTGATCAAAGGCATGGTTGAACAGGAGGGTCTTGAGATGGGTCTTAAAGGAGGCAAGGGAGGGGTCGAGGTGGAGGGACTGCAGGATGGAGTTCCAGAGGGTGGGGGCAGAGTGGCTGAAGGCTCACCCGCCAATGGCAGGGCAGGCGAGGTGGAGGATGTGAAGCAGGTAGCGGTAGTGGGGAGCGAGGCCATGGAGGACTTTGAAGGTGAGGACCAGGATGTTGAACTCTGTGATGGGAAACCAGTGGAGTCGGGCGAGGATGGGGGTGATAAGCACACCCAATTAATACACAGGCCAACCCATTGCCTTGGGACGTCCTCTCGACATGAAAGGTGCCATTCAAATGTAACTTTGTATTGTATTGCTGTTACGCTGCCTCAGCCTGGAGAGGGACAGGAAGAGAGCTGGAGTGGAAGATATGATACAGTGGAGTGGCCAGGAATAGAAATTTGGTCATTGCCCATCCACCATAAGTTGGTGCCCACCCATTCCTAGCTACACCACTGATCCAAACCCAGGTGAAATTTCTACCCCACAGTATGTAAGGCTACTCATTTTTACTGCTTGTGACTTTCTGTGACCAGAGGTTGCAAGTCACAGCAGAGATATAGCTGTGTACACACACAAGAATGTTATGAATTATAGGTTTCAAGCATACAAAATCCAAGTGTATACATGCATGTATACATGGACACACACCTACGCACGCTGTAAATTATAACTTACAAATCTCTGTATATGTGCAAGCATGTGTGTGTATATAATATATATATATGCTTGTGCACCCACACACAAACGCATTCCATGTTAATTTCTTACTAGAAAGACAAAGAACTTGCAGGTGTTTTTAATGCACTTTCCTAATTGTGGGAAAAAGTGCTGGAAGAGAGGCTGCGCGTATCCAGTTTCCTTAGTGCTGTTATGCTAGTCTGGTGGCGAGCCACCTGGTCAGTTTTTCACCAGCACGGCTGTCTTTCCTTCAGTTGTTTTGGATGTTCTAGCAGGAGGGAACACATGAAGCCCAGCTGACAGGCACTCGTGTGAAAATCACACCCTCTGGCCTGCCCTGCACTGGAGTCATTCTGGTGAAGCAGGGCAGAGCTTGGGCACACTGCGGCACTGTTGGTGGTGGTTGTCAGTGCAGCTGAGGGCAGGGTTTGGCCGCTCTAATAAGATGCTGCAACCTGAAAAGCGGAGAGACCACTGTGATAATAATAATAATCCTTGCATTTGATATAGCGCCTTATCATGTCTTCGAGACGTCTGAAAGCGCTTTACAGAATATACCGTAAAGTGAATTGACTGTATATTTTGTTGGCAAAACTCAGCAGCCAATTGCGCACAGCAGTGTCCCACAAACAATTGTGGAGTGAGTGACCAATGTATTAATTATTTGTTTTTTAAAAAGGGATTATTACCACCTCTGGAAAAGTGATCCGCCAATTAACCAACCGGATTCCTACTTACTTACTGCTAGTTAAGCAGAGGCTTGTTTATACAGTGCTCTTCACATAGGGTAACGTCTCAAAGAGCGGTATACAATTCAATACACATTTATAATAATAATCCTCGTTATAAAATAATCCTAAAAAGCACCTTTTGTGTCGGGAGGGTGTCTCAAAGCTCTTCGCTTGTTATACTGTAAAATGCAGTGATTATGTTACAGGAAAACGTGGCAGTCAATTTGCGCACCGAAATGTCCCACCAACAGCCATGAAGTGAATGGTAACTGATCTTATTTTGGGGATTATTGACCAGAACATGGGATGAAACTCCCAAATTTCAGTGCCCTTCACGTGGGGTGGAGTGTGGGAACTCTGTACAATACTACACAATCTTTATACAAATCCCTTCACTTCGGGAGGATGACTCAAAGAATTGACACTGTTGCTTGGCACTTCAGTTGGCGGTGGGAGCTGAAGCGGGGGTGGGGGAGGAGAAAAGTGGCTGAAAGCGTAGTCAAACTGGTATGTTTTGAGAAGTGAGCCTTAATAATAATAATAATAATAATCCTTGCATTTGATATAGCGCTTTTCACGTCGGGAGGACGTCCCAAAGCGCTTCACAGAACACACTGTAAAGTGAATTGACTGTATATTTGTGGGCGAACGCGGCAGCCAATTGCGCACAGCAATGTCCCACAAACAGTCGTAGATTGAAAATGACCAATTTATTATTGTTTTTGGTTTTGGAGGGATTATTATTAGGCGTGTGGAGTAAGGAAACTTGCCCAAGGTTTCGCCCTGACCTGCCTGGAAATGAACCCAGGTGTCTCGCTTGCAAAGCGAGTGCTCTAACCACTGAGCTACAGGACTCCACTTGATCAAACAACTAGCAGAGTTGGGGCAGGGACAAGAGAAGAGGCCGAGTCATGGACACAAGAATGAAGGAGGAATGTGTCTGAGGACGGATGAGTTGGCAGACAGACGTGAACGATTGTGGGTGCTGGACAGAAATGGGAGATTAAGCGACGGGGGTGAGGACTGGGTGACTGGAGTTGAAAGCAGGAGCGTGACTGGGTGACGGGGGTGGAGTGCCGAAGGGGAATTGGCCAGAGTGGGGAAGAGACGAATGACTTAGCCGGTGTGACTCAGAGGGAGAGAGAGAGAGCAAAGAGAGCAGGGAGTGTGGAGATAGTATGAGCGATAGCTCAGAGTGAGCTGCTTCTTTATATTGGTTTGTTGGTTCGAACTTGATTTTTTTTCCTGCTACCTAAAAACCAAGGTAACATTTTCTAACCTTGGGTTAGGTAGGGGGTTGGGGTGGGGGTAAGAGAGACAATGACTTGATGTCAGTGTTAATATCTCACCTTCTCTCCCCCCTCCCCCCCCACCGCAGTATCTGGAAAGCATTGTAAATAATAATAATCCTTGCATTTGATATGATGCCTTATCACGTCTTCAAGATGTCTCGGGCGCTTCATTGTATACCGCAAAGTGAATTGACTGTATTTTGTGGGCGAAATAATGGCGGGTGTAGGATTAAAGAGCGGATGCATAGTCCTATTCTGCAAAATAGCACCACTCCACTGCACAATACTGGTGGGTGGTGGTGGTGGGGGGGCGGAGAGAGGGAGAGAGAGAGAAAGAGAGCGCAGAAAGAGTTTGAATCGTAGATACAATCTTCTCGCCCGCAGCCATCCTCACCGCAGCATGAATGAGAATGCCTCAGGCAGCTCTGCGTTCATTTTCCGAGCAGCTCATATGCTCGTAGTGTGTGCCGCTATTATTCATTCTTCAGTAATTCCATTGCAGTTAAGTCATTACTAGCAATCGGAGTCGGCCCAGATTGTAACTCCATATTTGGAAATGTCATGTGAGATGCCTAATGCCACATTAAAATAAGATAAAGACCAAATTGTCTGGCTGACATTGGACTTGATAATGGGCCCAGGGCCAAAATCTTGTTGGGAACATACACAGGAAGATCCTGACTGGTGCAGCTTCCAACAATGATAGCCAGCAGGTGCATACTTTTCCTTAAACACACTTTGTTCCCCAGCCACCCACCACCGCCCCTGTCCCCCTCCTCCCCTCCTCCCCCTCCACTTGTCTTCTCGGCTTTCAAAATCGAGTTAAAGTGAAATTTTACATTGGCAGCTTGCACAGAGATCTTAGGCTGGCTGGCTGAGCAACTGGTGACTTCATAGAGAAAGTATGAGAGGGATCTGAGAAACTATGAAAGGGATCAAAAGTATACAATAGCCACCACATAGTTGCATCAATATCATTTTATTCGTTCTCCCAGTTCGTACTACTGTAGAGAGGGTAATTTCCACCCCTCACCCCCCCCCCCCCCCTCACCCACCTCCAATGTAAATATCTGTGTTCAGATTTTTCTCCAAAGGGCCAATGGTTTAAACTTGTTGGTTTGTTGGAAGCTGCTTCAATCTGCGAACAATTAAACTTTAGGTTTCTGACATTCCTTCCCTGACAATCACCTTTTGGTTCATCCTGGTATATTTGTATCTGGCATTCAGAAGTGATCTTAAGAATGCTTGTCAGCCAGCCTCAGTCAGTGGTCACTTTGTGGTCACAAATTTGTGTGCTCATGTCAGGATTTTAAACTCCCATCGTTCTGAGGAAGCACTGGATTGTCGAAGGTGCCGTCCTACGGAAGAGAAGTTAAACCGAGGTCCCGACTGCCTATTCAGGTGGATGTTAAAGATCCTGTGACACTGTTCGAAGTGAGATGGGAGTTTCTCCTGGTGTCCCAACCGATAGTCCCCTTGATAAAATTTGTCATTCACTTAATGGCTGAGGAATTTGTGGGACATTGCACAAATTAGTTCTCGAGTTTGCCTACAAAATATGCTGCACTTTGCAGTAGTCCTGGGAAGTGCATTGAGATGTCCCCTAACATGAAAGGCACTATATCAAATGCCTCCAAGTCGTGATCGTCTCGTCCCCCACCCCTCACCCCACCGGGGCTCGGCACCCAACTAGGTAAAGCGTTACAAGTGTTATCAATGGAGCCACATATACCCAAGCTGTAGTTGTTCTCACCTGCCAAATTCCAGTGGCCACGTTTCAGACTACCTTTGAGAATGAACGCAGAACATCAAAACTGGTCACATCAAAAAGCAGATTCAGCTTTTATGATGAGACGCCATTCACAGAATCCTAAAATCTTGCAGCATAGAAGGAGGCCATTCGGCCCATCGTGCCTGTGCCAGCTCTTTGAAAGGGCTATCCAATTAGTCCCAGTCCCCACCACCCCCCACTTTCCCCACAATAATTTTTTTTCCTTTTCAAATGATTCCTTCCCTCTTGCCATGGATAAAAGAAGCCAATGAACAGATCTACCTGTAACGTGGTGAGTCCAGTGGTTTCACTCAGCTATAATTGAGGCAATCTTTTGTCATAGCACATTCCGCAGAAACCTTTCCTACAAGATAGATTTCACCAGTAGCTGCTGCTGTACCACATTCCTTGGTTACACTCCCCTCGATTCACAATTAACTGCCAACTTATCAGCCTCTGAGCGCTGGCATTCCTTTAACTAAAAGACGTCCATTTAAGCTTGTCATAATGCATTGGAGCAACCTAATGTGTTTGTGTGTGTGGTGGGGGGGCAGGGAGGGGGCAGGACAGAATGGAGGGGATCATAGTGCGTGAAAAATGTTGAACTGAGGATGGGGGGTGTGGGGGGAGTGTGGAAGGAAGTGCAGCAGCATAGAGAGGCCAGTGACAGAGAGAGAGAGAGAAGCGTGGCAAGCAGGAAAGCCACAATTTAACATGCAGTAGCAAAGGTTGGTGGCAATTTAGTGTGGAGTGGGAATCTGGACTGAGGTGGTCCGAGTGGCAAGATTTCTCTCAGCTCGGGTTTGGCTGTGATGATAGTACAAACGCAGGGTGTAAGTTTTTGTTCGGGAGTGGGCTATTCAGCCCCTTGAGCCTGTTCGCAATTCTATAAGATCATGACTGATCTATACCTCAAGTCCAGTTACCTGCCCTTGCCCCATATCCCTTAATACCCCGACCTAACAAATATTTGTCTACCTCCATCGTCAAAATGTGAATGGACACAAAGGTGTTCCTCCACCTTTGAGGATCATGCAATGATGAGATAACCTCGGGCTCTTCAGTTTTGAGAGAAGGCATCTCTGAGGGAACTTGGTAGAGATGTACAATGTTTTAAATGGGTTTGAGAAAGTAAACCCAGAACAATTCTTTAGGATTCACCAAGGCAGTAGAACAAGAGGACCCAGATTTAGAGTTTACAAAGGGCTATTTCACAGCAGACACCAGGAAGTTTTTCATTACTTAGAGGGTAATTAACAACCGGAACAGGTTATCAGGAAGTGGGTGGTTGAGGCCAAGATATTTACCTTCAAAAGCAACAACAACTTGCATTTTTATCGTGCCTTTCAAGGGGGTAGTGAGTGTCTCAGAGCGCTTAACAGTGGTGTGGTTCAGTGACAGCGCGGCTCAAAATATAGTTGCGGATCAGCTGAAGGCAGGCTTTTCTGTGTGGTTGTGCTCAGAAGTTGCATCCTGTTCAGTACAAAATCCTTACTGATTCCTATAACTTTCCAGCGGCTTGGGATGTCCTCCCAACCTGAAACGCTCTATACAAATGTAATTTTGTATTGGATTGTATAAGAGCTTTGGAATGCACAGCTCCGAACAGAATTGTTTTCAAGCACAAAGCATAAAATACTGCAGATGCTAGAAATCTGAGGAAAAAACACTCAGCAGGTCAGGCAGCATCTATGGAGAAAGGAAAGTGAGTCAACGTTTCGGGTCCACGACCCTTCGTCAGAACCCCTGGGATTAGGATCCGCGGGCGAGGCTAAAAAGCAGGGCTTGTGTTCCTACGCACTTCATGCTCTGTTCAAATAACCAGGTTACAGGTTTGATCGGCTGAATATCTAACTCCTGCTCCTCACTATGTTCCTTATTCTTTTCTTGGCTTTACTTATTCGCTGGTTGCGAAGAAGAAGCTGCCAGCGTCGGCAGTGTAGTCGTGTTATTCTCATCAACTCGTGATAATTCACATTTGGGGAGTTTTTATTGTATTCACGTTGACGTGGGTTGCCTCACTGTCTAGCCTGGAAACAGGAAAGACATATTGGAAAGATTTTAGGTCGGGGGAGGGGGGAGGGCTCTGTGTTTTTGTTCAATTGACAAAAAGTCTGTGATCACTATCCTCTATTTAACTTCCTCAACTAGATATTACGCCCTAAAAGGATTCTATGCTGATATCTCTTCTGCACACAAGCATCCACCTTTCTCCCTCATGTAGGCATCAAGACTCTTCTTAAATACCTTGATGCATTTTGAATCAGCCGCTTCCTACATTCTCACCCACCTGCTGCGGGAAGATCCTCCTCAACTCCATTTCCGATCTGCTGCTGGCTATTTTATGTTTATTATCTCTCGGTTTGATGTCTCAATCGAGCTTGGTGTTGGATACTCCTTGAAGAGTAAATTGACAATTCACCAAAGGGCCAATAGTAAGAAGGGCAGGGAGTACAAACGAACACTGGGAGCGGAGCAAGGTGTGCGGTTTAGAGTGGTGGAGTATTGAGAGTTTGGATTGACAAATGAAGAGGTTTACTAACACACCCTTGATTTGGATCTAGTTATATTAACATGGTACCGACAAAGAAGCCCCTCCCTCCCTCCCAGCTCTGCACTAGGATATGAACTGAGACTTGTGTGAAGTCAAAGTCCCAACATTGGGGCATGAACCCAAAAATTTCCGGCAAGGAGGCAAGAGGAGCTGAGTTAGGCTGACTCGCAAAGAGAGACTTGTGGTGGTAGAATATTTAAGGCATCGGGGGAAAAGGCGGGGTAATGCTCTGTCATCTATCAAATAGCTAGGTTACAGGTTCGATCGGCTGAATATCTAACTCCTGCTCCTCACTGTGGAGTCCTGTAGCTCAGTGGTTAGAGCGCTCGCCTTGCAAGCAAGACACTTGGGTTCAGTTCCAGGCAGGGCGAAACCTTGGGCAAGTTTCCTTGCTCCACACGCCTAATAATAATCCCTCCAAAACAAAACAATAATAAATTGATCATTTTCAATCCATGACTGTTTTTGGGACACTGCTGTGCACAATTGGCTGCCGTGTTTCGCCCACAAATATACGGTCAATTCATTTTACAGCATATTCTGTGAAGCGCTTTGAGAGGTCAAGAAGACGTGAAAAGCGCTATATCAAATGCAAGGATTGTTATTATGTTCCTTATTTTTTTCTTGGCTTTACTTATTCTCGTGGTATGCGGCAGCTGGTTGCGCACAGCAATGTTCCACAAACAGCCATGGATTTAGTGAACAATTTTATTTGGAGGAATTGTTGGCCAAAAAACAAAACAGAGCGGAGAATAAAGCCTGCCCATTGCAGAGGTGGTTAGAATATAATCCAAATTTACTTTTATACAGTGCCTTTCGTATCAGGAGCGCGTCCCAACGCGTTTAAAATTACTGACTGGGCACTCGAGCTGGGGTGGGGGCTGAGAAGGGGTGGGCAGAGGAAACGTTTACTGGGGTTACATTCACTGTCATGCGTAGAATCACAAACTGGATATATCAATAATTATTCACCAACATAATAATAATAATAACAGCAACCCTTGCCTTTGATATAGCGCCTTACCACGCCATTAAAACGTACGCCGTGAAAGTGTAGTGACTTTGTGTTGCAGGCAGTTAAGGGTAAGAGGGAAGACAGTGCCAGTCTCTCTCTCTCTCTTTCTATTTATTTTTTAAAATAATGTTGATGTCGAGAAAACCAAGCACGAGTGATATCGGTTTCCAAGGCACTGGGAATTGCATCTACTTTGCGTGAGAGAGTGAACTATGCCGAGCATGGGGAGGAATGGTGTTTTCAGTTAATAAAACCCATTGTTTTCTAGCTGTGTTGAAGGAGACAGGAAACCAGTCTAATTCCAGCCTCATTACATCGCTATACTGGCTGAAGTTCAGCTCTCTGTAATGACACTGCTTGTATTAACTTTGTTCTTTGTTTTAACCATTATGCTCCATTTAATTTTTTTTTACCAGTGCCAGATGGGCTACTCAAGGATTCTTTTCTTAAAAAAAATACATATTTGTTTTCCTAGGAAGCGAAAGGATAAAAATAATAAATGCGCATTTTCTGTGATTTTAGAAGGTGGTCAGTCGTTAGCTGTTAACCGTACCTTTCATTCAAGTGGATTTGGTTGTTGACGGTTTGCAGAGTGGTGATGAGGGAGGGGGGACGGGGGGAAATGGTTAGGGTTTAGACGGCAATTAGTGTATTTCTTTATAGCAAATGCCATGCGACTATGCACAAAGTTTAGTAGCAGAGGGGAGAATGCACCTGTTAGCTCATGTACCGATCTAAGGGTTTGAAAATGGAAACGAGTGGTGTGCAGATAGGAGCCAGCCGTTTGCTTTCCTGCAAAGCACTTGCTTACTTCGCTTGTAAAACTCCTCATTATTTTATTTTTGATCTTTTGCACCCACTATTGGTGGGGTGGGTGGAGCTTTGAGCTATCTTGTGATCATTCCACCCTCAGCACTTTGGAACTTCATCTCGGAGTCCTTCCATCTTGTCCCATCCGTTCTTCCTCCCTCCCTGCCTCCAAGCCCTGCCATAATACCTATCCTTTTAACTGTGCTCTCGGTCACTTCCCTCCCCACTCTGCCTCCTTAACCTGCTTCCCTCCCCCATCCCCGCCCCCTCCACCCCTCCCCAGCTCTGCTTCCAGTCGTCCTGCAGGAAACTCCAAAATACACAGTCACTACATTCCACTTCACACAGTGTATCTTGTGAAGCGCTTTGAGATGTTCTCCCAAGGTGAAATGCTCTGTATAAATGTAAGGTATAAAAATCCTTGCATTATGATATAGTGCCTTGTCACGTCATCACTTCACAGCATATACTGTAAAGAAGATTGACTGTGCATTTGGTGGGTGTAACAGGGGAGCCAGTTTGCACAGCAGTGCCCACAAATAGCCATCGAGTGAGTGACCAATTTTATTTGGGATGGGGGGCTGTTGTTGGCCAGGACACTGAGGGAAATTTCCCTCTTTTTTTCAAATAGTGTCACAGGATCTTTAACGTCCACCTGAACCGTCAGACGGGACCTTGATTGAATGTATCATCTGAAGTACGGCAACTCCAACACACAATGCAACACACCCTCAGCGCTGGGTTAGAGTGTCATCTTAGACTGTGTGATTCCAAGTGCCGATGTGTGTCTTGAACCCACAACCTATTGATTCGGAGGCGAGAGTGCTACCACTGAGCCAGTTTGATACAAATTGCATTTGTGATTGTAAATCCACTGAAGTGTTGTTGGGGGAAGTTCACCTTTATGTGTTCTTGCAACATTTTCATTTAGCCTCTTTTTTTTAAAGGAGGTTCACTAAGTATCAATCTAGGTGTGTGCATGATTCGCAAGAAAAAGAGTCTACATGTTTGTGAGTGGAGCATTCCGCAATAATAAAGCTCTTCACTGATATTAGTTATTGCGTGATGTCGGCAAAAGATATTAGATTGATGTCAATGATCTTAAACAATGGCCCAGTGTTTAATTTACAGCAATTTACAGAATCAAATGTAAGCATTATTATACCCAACTACAATTGGGCCATTGCAAATTGCTACAAATAAATAAATAATAATCCTTGAATAAGATACAGCACTTTTCACGTTGGGAGAATGTCTCAAAGCGCTTCACAGGATTTAATAATATAATAATCCTTGCATTTGATATAGAGCTTTATTTAGCACATCAGTGAGACAACTCAACAGAATATATTGTAAAGTGGATTGACTGTATATTTTGTGGGTGAAATGCGGCAGCCATTTGCACACTGCAATGTCCCACAAACAGTTGTGGATTGAGCGACCTATTTTTTATTTAGGGGTTATGATCCCCAGAAAGCGATCCGCCAATCGACTTAACAACCGGATTCCTACTTACTGCCGGGTAAACAGAGGTGTGTGGAGTAAGGAAACCTGCCAAAGGTTTCGCCTTGCTCAGGAATCGAACCCGGTTCCCCTCACTTGCAAGACGAGTGTTCTAACCAATACACTGCAGGAATCCACAATGAACTGAGATAGCAGCTAAATTTAGTGAGTGAGCTAAATTGTTGTTCACACAAGGGAAAGAATACCTTGAACTTGAATGAGTGATTACTTATAGGTCTCTGTGAACATATGAGCCCTCGTAAAATGTTTAGTGCTGCAACTTTTCAATTTACTTTTGGAGAGAAAGTTGGACGTGGCTGGTAAGAATTTAAACATGCTGAATATGATTGATGATTTTCACCTGCGTGCATTGAAGTTTTTAACCTGTCAAATAAACAATTATAAAGCTACAGGAAAATGAAAGAGAAAAATAACCATTAGCATTAATTAATCATGTGGTGCTCTGTCAGCCTGGCTCAATTGGTAGCACTCTTACTTCTGAGAGTGTTGTAGGTTCAAGTCCCACGTCGGGATTTGGAACTCATATAGTCTAGGTTGTCACTTCAGTAGAGTGCTATGGATGTGCTGCATTGTTGGAGATGTGGATGATAATAATTCTTGCATCTGAAACATTCAATAGAGGTCTCGACTGTGTGAACAGCTGGACATTTACGCTGGCGTTTTGGCCAACAGTCCTCCACGTAAAATTGATCATTCATGGCTGTTTGTGGGACATTGATGTGGGTGAGTTAGCCGCCAAGTTTTCCCACAACAATACCCAGTCACTCCACTTTACAGTGAATTCTGTGAAGCACTTTGAGATGTCCTCGTGATGGGAAAGGCACTATATCGAATGCATGGATTATATTATTATTACTGGTGCAAATTTAACGCGGATTGTGACTTGTTTTGGTATTGATTTAAGCGCTCCGAGACATCATTCAGCGTGAAGGGTGCTTTATAAATGCAAGTTGTTGTTGTTGATTCTTTTGTGCAGTAAACGTTAGGTGCGGGTGAGGGAGAGAGAAGCCACATTACTTTGCTGCGAGACTTGCAGATTACTGTGTCTGTCCAGGTTCTGTTGCTTTTCAATCTGTGTTTCTTAATAGTCAATGGATTTGGGGTTGGACCTTCAGGTTCACAAATCCCTGAATTCTGAATATTCTCTTGCACGTCACTTCTCGCGTTTCATATGCCTCCTTTCTGTGAGGAATCCACAGCTTGTACATCTCAGGTCAGATATGTTGGCATGCTCTTATGAGAAGCTAGTGCACTGGAAATGAATTGAATAATGAACTGGTGTGGGCTTTTCAAAGCAGAAAACCACTGGGACGCGATTTAACTGCCCTCGTGAGGAGATGTGTGAACATACGTTACAATGCATTGAAATGTATCATTCCTAGTTCAAACGCAGAGAAATGAGAACACAATTAAGATAATACAACCTGCATTTGATGTAGTGCCTTTCCCGTTCTGAGGGGAATTTCAAAGTGTTTCACAAAATATATGGTAAAGTGTAGTGCCTGTGTATTTTTTAGGATGAATACTGTAGCCAATTTTCACACAGCAATGCCTCACAATCGTCGATCAATTTTATGCGGAGGATTGTTGACCGGGATACCAGGAGAAATAGTTTTCAAATAACGTCATGATGATCCGCCTGAACAGACCTCAGTTTAACGTCTCATTCAAAGGATGGCACCTCTGTCAATGCATCGCTCCCCCAGCACTGCATTGGTAGTGTCAGCCTGGACTGTGAGTTCACAGTTCACATCAAACTAAATGCAGCTCAAACTAAACTCTGCATCTCCAAATGGCCACATTAGACCGTTTGTCGATTAATCTTGAAACGGGATAGGTGCAGAACCAATTGTGTGCATGGCATCTCACTCCACATTAGATGTATTTTTTAATATGTAATATATATATATACTTTAATAGAGAAAGTTGCTTGCTCAAATTCATTGCAGCTGTGTATTTATTTTGGCCACGCTTTGAAAACTTCCAACAATCTAAATGCATACAGATGGTCAATCTTACAATATACTTGCATAAATTGATTTACCATCAACGAACAAACCCAACTTTTGGTTCAGCCGTTTTTATGTGCTCATTATATACAGATTGCCTGCCTCAAGTTTAAAGACGTTCACATTTGGAATGCCTTTGACTTGTCATTTCTCTTCTGGGTTGTTCATGTCGGGAGAGAAATGAACAAGACTTTCCACGTTGCTTTTCGGCCAATTTGTCGCTGGTAACTAATAAGCCACTGAAAGATCACCTGCTGACCTGAACTTTGCTGCTATTTATAGGCTCCAGTCACCACGTTCACATCAAGTTGATGATCTGCTTCCTTTGCCGAGCAGATTAGTTCTATTAAGAGAACGAAATAAGTTGTAATCTGATAGGTTAACAGCACCCTTTGTGTAGGATAACATTCTACACAATGAGCGTTTCACAGTGGCGGGCTGGGCCGAGCAAGGAAAAAAGGGAAGGGGGGAGGTGACCATCATAGGTGCAGTCCGTAGGGGATAGGTTTTAAAGTGGGATTTAAAGACAGATAGAGAAGGGGCGAGATGATGGATACAGGTGGTTCCAGAGTTTAGGGGCACAGTGACTTAAGGCTCAGCTATGATGGTGGTTTGCTGACACTTGTTTGGATTGTGGAGCCCTGTGTGTTTGTGTGTGTGTGTCTCTCTCTCTCTCTGTCTGTGTGTGTTTGTCTCTCTGTCTGTGTTCTGTGTGTGTGTGCAAGTGTGTGTGAGTGTGTGTGTGTGTGTGTGTGTCGGTCGGTCGGAGTGTGTGTGTGTCGGTCGGAGTGTGTGTTTGTTGGTCGGAGTGTGTGTGTGTCGGTCGGAGTGTGTGTGTGTGTGTGTCTCTCTCTCCGTCTGGATGTGTGTCTGTGTATGCATGCATGTATGTGTGTGTGTGAGATCTTAGAAAAGCTCATGCACAAAATGTGTTGGTACACTTCCAGGCTCAGCTGAAATCATCGAAACTTGAGCTGCCATGTTGTGTTTGCAAATGTTTGAAGACTAGTTTAACTGCTCTATGAATTTGTCAGCAAATATCCCAACCCTGTTACAACTCAACCCCACACGTCAACCAACTCGGTGAACTGCTCAACAAAATGTCCAAATTGCCGACACATTTGTTGGCCATGATCTACCCGTACACAGGGTCAGTTAACCTCTAGTTATGAGATAAAGCAGCAAAAATATTAGTTTAGTCACCCTTGGATTCTTGGCTCTGGGTATCTTTGACACTCCACATGGCTTGGAACCCACATTGTTTTACTTGGCTACGAAAATTGTATTTTTATATATATATATATGTACTGTATATCTATACATGAGAAATTGATTCCAGTGGAAATTATTTTGTTTTGAGGCATGTGTTGCACTGTTTTAGATCGTTTCCCATCTGATTGCACTGGACAGCACAGCGCAATCACCTTACCCCACCTCCTGTTGTGCTCGCCGGTAAAAGTTGTGAGCTGATGCTCCATCTATGAAGGGTTATTGTAAAATTGTAGTGTTGCAGAAATTTCGAGAGCTGAAGGAAACCATTCAGCTCATCCAGCCTCTCAGAGCAAGATGCACATTCAATCCCACTGGCCCACCCTTTCCTCATACCCCTTCAAACCACTATCCTTCCTATAGTTGTGTACTGTGTCAGCCTGGCTCTCACCTCTGAATAAGAAGGTTGTGGCTTCATGCCCCACGTTGGCACTTGGAATCACATAGTCTAAGCTCACACTGCAATGCGATGCTGGGGGTGTGTTGCATTGGCGGAGGTGCTGTCCTTTGGATGTGACGTTAAACCAAAGTCCCGTCTGCCTGTTCAGCTGGACGTTAAAGGTCCCGTAGAACTATTCAAAAAGAGAAGGACATTTCTCTCTCCAGATGTCCTGGCCAACAATCTCCCACATAAGATTGGTCACTAACTCCATGGATGTTTGTGGGACACTGCTATGTGTGCGTGCAACTGATTTTTGCTCACAAGATACAGTATATCCTGTGAAATGCCTGGAGGCGTCCCGTTGATGTGAAAGGTGCTACTGTATATCAAATGCAAGGGTTATTATTGTTACAGTACTCTTGAAGCTCACCGTGCACTCTACCTCTACCAGCTTACATGACAGGGCATTTCACATCTTAACAGCTACCTGTGTATCTTACAACTGCTGGGATATGGTGCTGCTTTTATGAAAGTTGATGCAATGCTCTGTATTTTTTGGTTTTCTTCCTCCACCGGGGAAAATTCCACGAGCATCTGCTGCAACCCTAACAAGCGTTTCATGCATGAGGCACGGCAGCGGGAGAAACTCCTCTCTCTTTTCAATTAGTGCCACAGGATCTTTAATGTCCACCCGAACAGACAGACGGGACTTCGGTTTAACGGCTCATCATAAGGACGGTACCTCCGACAATGCAGAACGCCCCCAAACACTTCACGGGAGTGTCAACACGAACTATCTGAGTTCAAAGTCCTGATGTGGGGCTTCCACCCACAATCTTCTAACTCGGAAGTGAGACTGCTGCTAACTGAACCAGGCTGACATGTCTGTATAGAATCACGGGTTATGAAATACTGAGTGCCTCACAAGGACATAAGAATTTGCTAGGCAAAAGAAGACCAAGGTTCATCTGGTTCGCCTTCCACCATCCCGGCAGTCGCTTGACGTGTCGTGTCCCAAACTATATATTGTCTCCCACTGTCTATCTTTCAATTTGGTAGTTAGCAATAATACTTAACATTTTCATATATATATTTTCTTTTTTCCGCATTTCAGTGAGGAAATGTAAAGGTATGATTTCTTAATGAGCATCGTCATGCAATAATGTTCATTTCTACAAAATAAACACTCACCTGCATTTTACAATAAAAATCCCCTGAAGCACTTTGGGACATTTCAACCACGTGATAAATTGCATGGAGAGTGTGTTTTTGCTTTTTGTTTATCCCTTAATTTTTCTGGAAAGTGTAATTTTGCACAAATAATCCTTTGCTTTGCCTTGACCTTTCGAGCCTAACCTCTGGCATAGTTATGGTTATCCCAGTTAGATTTCAGAACATGCCGACCACAAGGCAGTGAGTTTTTATGGGGGGTTAAGATGTCAGGATGTTGTGGTATTGTGAAATTCCCAATTTTTTTGAGGAGGGGATCTAGTATTTTGTTATGCGTTATATGCATACCGATCGCCGAGAACTTCTAATGCTCAGAAGGACTTAATTTGCACTGATTAAGTTTGCAAAGTTTCCTCTCAACATACTGCTCACTTCCAGTGAAATTCTTTGGCTGAGGTCTCAGAGTGTGGCGGTCACTGGAATGTGACTAATGCGGAGCATTTCCAAATGTATGCAGTGCTGCTAAATGAAATAAACAAAGGCCCATTTTATAACTGTCAAAGAACCTTTTGTGATTATCGGGTGGGGAAAAAAACACAGTGAAAAGCTGTCAATTCTATTATAAAGTTTGACATTCCACACATGGTCCTTTTGAGTAATGAAGTTAGCCTTTTTTCCCCTCATCCACAGTGTTCAACTTTCCTTGTCCCCAAACAGCCACCAGCTGATGCTAAAGTGTTGGGCACGTGAACCCCACAAGAGGCCGTCCTTCCGACACATTCAAAGCTGCCTAGAACACCTGAAAAGCAGCCCCCAAGGCAGCCTGAATGCCCTTGTGTACTACAATGACAGCTACAGCAACAGTGACATCTCCCAGGGTATTGTCAATCAAGCATTCGAAGGTAAAAATGTGCCCCATTATTGACTGAACAACTGACAGCATTGCAATCCTTATATAGGAACAATAGGCACAAGGTAGCCTGGTGCTTCTTTAGTCGTTGGAAATGACAGCGCTGTGTCCCTCAACAGTACAGATAACACGGCTGTCCTCGGCCTGACGGGAATTGATACAAATTGGATGTTAATTCTATTGCTGATTCCATTGTCCTGCCATCCGATTGAGCTGCGAGTCCACAGCGCGTCTCTTTTAAAGGAGCATTCCCCAGTTGTTTGTTTAAGCTGAGGCCTAGTGTTGAGCTTCTCATAGCCCTCGCATTCCCAGGTAGCACGTCCACCCTACTTCCTGCAGTGAGGTTTTTATGAGAAGACGGGCAGCCAGCAGAGTGGTTGGCTTTTGGCTGCAGGGTGTCCTGGTTACTGTGTTTCAGTGATTGACAGGGGTTTAGGAGAGTGACAGGGTGACTTTTACATCTGTGTAGTGGCTACTGTCAACTATTTTATTCCCACACTAAACCTTTGTAATTCCTGGTACGCTGGCTGTCCCACGGACCCAAATGCAGATGCCAGACCACTGTGGAGCTATAGTATAGATACATTTTATGAGAAATAATAGTGGTTTAGGGTCATTGCTTAGAGGAATGTAATGATGTTAAGGTTCAATAACAGCTGTTGTCTTAGCAGTTTTTTTTTAAAAGACAGGAAAGATAACGAGTGTTTTTTTAAACAAAGTGTTTTATTATAAAATAACATAAATCAATTAGTAAATGATTGTAAATAAAATAGATAAAATCGGTCATTGGCTTCATGGCTTTTTTGCGGGACATTGCTGTTTGCAAATTGGCTCTCGTGTTCGTCCACAAAATGCACAGTCACAACACATTACTATAAAATCCTGTGAAGCTTTTTCGATTATGTGATAGGGAGCTATGTCAAATCCAAGGATGCTTATTATCTGGAACGCTGTGTTGTATGCATGTGTGATGTGTGTTCATGTGCCTGTGCATTAGTGTGTATGTATCGTGTTTGTTTGGTTGTATTTGTGCCTTTTTTGCTGCTAACTGAGCCAGGCTGACACGCAGTGTATCAGATGGCAATGTGCATTCGGTTTGTTTACGCCTGACATTTTCATTTTCCTCATCATAAACTAATTTTGGTTCAAGTGTATGATGACTGCTTGGACCATAATTATATCAGTTCATCTACAAAATGGTCGTTTCACTTTACAGTAAATCCTGCGAAACCCTTTGAGATGTTCTGTGACATGAAAAGCACTCTGGTGAAATGCAAGGATTATTATTGTTTCTTCTTACGTTAGTACATTGTTGGAAAGATGAATGAATTATGTAGAAATGAGTGGCAGAATCTCTTAACTAACATCAGTAGGTTTTTATGAACCCCACTGTTTGAGGAATGAGCTATGAACAACAATTAGACAAGCAAGGACTGTTCATTCTTGAGAGAAGATAACTCAGAGATGTATAAAATCATAGAGTTGCATAAAATTTTAAATAGGCTTGATAAAAACCCAGATCAATACTTTAGGATGCAACAAGACAACAAGAGGACATAGGTTTAGAGTTGGAAAGGACAATTTCAGGGCAGACAGCAGGACATTTTTCTATACTCAGAGAATAATCAATGACTGGAACAGGTTGCTAGGAAAGGTGGTAGAGGCTGGAATATAACTCATTGAAAAAGCTCGCTGCTGCAATGGGGGACCATGGTAGATGAATGTTCTGGAGGGACAAAATTGGATGAGCCAAAGAGCCTTTCTCATTGAAACCAATCTTGTGAAACTGCAATGAAGAGGTTGGATGTAGTTTAAAGCAAAATACGAAGAGATATGGCAATCCATGACATCCAAAGGCCACAGAACAGTCGCCCCCTTCCTTGCCTCCTTCAAAACCTATCTCAAGTCCCTCCTCTTTGACCACGCCTTTGGTCACCTTCCTACCCTTCACTCCTCCTAATCCCAACCACCAGCTCGGGTGCGAATCCTTGACTGTCCAGCGTCTTGGGACGTCCCCCTGACATGAAAGGCGCTATAGAAATTTAATTTGTTGCTGTTGTTGTTGTTGGTCAGTACTTTGGCAATGTATTTAAAGGCTTAGGTAGTATCTTTCCAATGCCTTGCCACTAGAAGCTCTGGTTTAGTGTTGGAACCAGTTTGCTCACGATGCAGCGATATCTCCTCCATAGAATAAATAATAATCCTTGCATTTGTTATTGTAGCTTCTTTCACATCGGGAGGATGTCTCAAAACCCTTCACAGGATACACTGCAACGTGTAGCCCCTGGGTAGTATGTTGCCAAACGCCTACAAATGCTTTGAATGGACAATAGTCTGCATTAATATAAAGATGCTATTCATCAGTTCTTGCCAGCTTCTCGTGGCAGGACATAACAAATCGCAGTCATTTGGTGAATCCATAACCACTGAATCATTTCTGGTTTTGTTTAACTGGTGTATATTTCAGTATCGACTCGTGTGTGTGTGTGTGTGTGTGTGTTTATGCTGTCCACTGGATTTGCTCTATGTCTGTCAGAGTAGAGGAGCCAGTAACTGGATCAGATGCAGTTTCTCTAATAGATCCATCTGCAGTTTAATGGCACAGTTGCCTATCACACATACAGTACACATTTCCTCCAGTGTCCTATGTAATAAACATCTTTACGACACAAGGTTTATTTTGGGCATTGCTCAAATTGCTCTCAGAGGAGATCACCTCCCCTTTCAACCTGGTTCAGTGTTAAACTATGCCGTTGTTCAGTTCTGAGATGCTAAATGCAGGTTGTTTGTTGTTGCTCTGAATGAAAAGTGAAATTCAAGTTGGAAATGTGCAACCAATACAGTTAACGCAACATACTGATTTTGTAAAGGTCTTGCACGTTGGCATGTTTCTGGCATGTGTAAAATAAAACATTTGGCTTTATGTAATAAACCTATGAGACTTCTGCAATGGGAATTTGCAGGACACAACAAGAGAAATGGGCTTTCATTGTGTCCAATGGGACATCGCTGATCCAGATGTCTCATTGCATGTTTGTGGGTTTATTCGGGCCCGTTACTTAGCAAGCATGTTTGTTTCAATAAGGGTCAGAACAGTAGAAGATTATACCCTGCAATGTTTTGTAGTCTTTAGTTACAAACTCAGCCGTTGTTACAGCAACAGAGAATAAATCTGACCATGTTTCAGTCGAAAGCCAACTGACTTCAGAAGCCTTGTCCGTCAGCAGTCTAATTTATCATACAAATGCCTTATCTAATAAAACGTCCGTCTATCAGTAATACAAAACCTGGCCACTGATGTGCAGCTGAAACTTAGTTGTGCTCACAGTGTAGAGTGATTGCAAAAAGGTTGCGGCATCGTTATTTTCATTTGTAGAGTAATCATGTGCTGGTGTATTCAGACAATAAAAGCGTCAACACTGCTCTAAAAGTACCGTGCAGCAATGAAATTATGATTATTGCATCGATTATGAATAGGACAATGTTCACGAAGGAATACACAGCATTTGAAAAATGTCAGATGATTTCAACCAGCGTTCCGTTAACTAATTTCTTAAATAGGATTTTCTTCAGTGCATGAAACCAGGAATATTGGATCCACAATATTAACAATATTAATCCTTGTATTTGATTTAGCGCCTTATTTGTTCAGATGTCTCAAAGCGCTTCTGTAAAGTGAATGTATATTTCCCCCAAACAATCACGAATTGAGTGACCAAATTATTATTATTATTATTGTTTTTAAAGTTTTGATTATGTATTTTTATGGGTGAAACGTGGCAGCCAATTGCACACAGTAGTGCTCCACAAACAATCGTGGATTGAGTGACCAATTTTTTTTAGGATTTATTTCCCCCAGAAAGCAATCCGACAATCGAATAACAATTGGGTTCCTGATTACCACTCGGTAAACAGAGGCGTGTGGCATAAGGGAACTTGCCTAAGGTTTCGCCCCAGCTGGAAATTAAACCTGGGTCCTCTCACTTGGGAGGCGAGTGCTCTAACAACTACACTATAAGCTCTAACGACACCATATTAAAAGAGACTGTCGTTGGAAAGTGCTGTGCAAATAAATGCTGTGGATCAATTATCGTATGATATTTGGCCCTCGTGCTATTTTCCAACCAATTTAATCTGGTACCAGAGTTAATGAAAATCATCTTTCACTTATTTTTCTGGGTTAACTACCTCTCCTCCTCCTTCTCTTCCCCCTTTGGGACCTTCCCTACATTAGACTCTGACCAAAGGAATGTCTTGACAACTTGCCTCACTGTAGCCTGTGCCAGAGGCTCCTCTGCTCCACAGCCAGTGGGTGGTAGGTGGGCGATCGAAAGCACGGCTGAAGCTGGAATCCCCACTGGGTTTGTTTTTATGGACTCTTTTTTTTGTTCTTGTTGTTCTCTCACATTGTATCTCACCCATCTGTCAATTCAGCCGAGATAAGCAAGTTACCAAACTAGAAAACGCGCATTTCTTCCCAAGGGAGATCATTGTCCCCTTTCTGCGTGGAAATAAGTTTCCCGATGCATTTTCTTTTAACTTTTACTTTGCTTTCTTCCCTCCTCCCTTCCCTGCCTTCCACACGCCCTCATCTTGCAAATGAATTGTTGGCAGATTAATCTTGTGAAAATAAAAACTCCTCTCAGCGAGCGTGGCAGTGTACAGCAGCGAGAATGTTTCGAACGCGGTGTTCACCTTCAATTTTTTTCCATTTTTTTTATTTTAAAAAAAAAGAAAATCGCGCGAGTGGCTTCAATGCCGCGCGACTTGGTGTTAAACCGGTCTTTCACATGATACCATTTAATAAATGCAACAACAACTTGCATTAATATAGCGCCCTTTACTCTGGGTAGCGCCCCGGAGCACTTCAGGTTGGTGGAGTCTGACAACCAGCCGGGCGAGAGCAATGGATTCACAACGCCTAGAATGCTAATGTTTAGTTTTGTGCTCTGATAAATTATCGTCGAGAATCTGACAGTACTTAACGGCTGT